TTAAAAAGTTTCCCAAAACAAAAAAAAATCAAAACAAAGACTTAACTTTGTATCTTATTCGTCTGCTGCTTTTATCAGCCCATTTACGTGCCAAATCAGCGGGTGAAAGTGTTGCAAAATAAGCGAAACGAAATAGCGAAATCGCTCTGGGGTGAAAATTGTTTTTCCTCGCTCCACAAGGAAGGAAAATTTGCAGAGCAGATGCCTAGCCGGCAGTTTGCCTGGAATTTTCCCACACTTTGCAGGTGAACGTGTCTGAACTTTGATTAGTTTTCCACCGCTCTGAAGTCGGTGGATAGTGGATAATAAATGTGTAACATTCTGAAATGGCTGGCGTGGTTGCATGAAAACCGATCTCTGAGTCATGGGCGATTAGTCAGAGGAGAATTTTTGGGGTAAGTGAACGGCCTCATTGAGTCACTCACTGCACTGCAAGAGTTTTCCATTTCCATTTCCCGCGCTGCCAAGGGGAAAAACTAAGCGTGTTCGCATTTAATGAGTGTCACTGGTATCGATCGCCGTGGCACCTGTTTCCGTTGCATAATTTCGTTGTCCTCCAGACACCACACAAAAACAGACACAAAAACGAGTTCTTTCTAAATTATTTGTTTCTTCGGTCACCATTACATTATATTTACACATTCTTCTGTAAGTAAACGCAGCAAAGGCGCTAGTTCTAATGAAGTTGCGAGGGAGTGTGGCAGGTGTCTGCTGCTGCGGTCTCTTATGGGCCATTTGTAACCCGATAGACCCAGTTTACACTCTAATGAGGGATCAGTAGGTACAACAAATATCTTAGCTGCTAATGATCAAGATAATGTAGAAAATGGTCTGGAAAATGTTTTAATTGGGTTAAAAATGTCTTCGGCTACCTAACACATACCTTTCAATGCTACTTTTTATAATACCGTTGGGGCTTTAATTTAACGTTTAAATGAAAACAGGGTAAATCTTTAACATATTTTTATTTAAATTTAGATGTATATATTTAATATGATATATATAATTTCATAATGTTTTTTTTATACATTGTTATAAAACCTTTTTTAAATGATGTTAGTTTATTTTACTAATTTTATTATTGAGCTTTAATTTACCACCTCAAACAACTTAGGAATGGTTCTGTAAATGTGCATAGTTTATTATAGACATGTATTTTATTTACATTACCATTTTGTAAATTGTTTTAAATGTCCCGATAAGCACTATTCTTGGACAAAACTTTCAACTTCAAAGAAGCCTTGACTAATATTACTATTGTAGTTGGCCCATAAATTTTGCTACCATATCAGGAGATCTTTTCTTGTTCCCAGAAGTGCATTTCGAGTACATCAGAGAGTACTATGCACCTCGTGATTTTCGTTACTTTTTGCACTGCTAACCATCCGCAACTAATGCGGTGGAAGGAAAGATAAATGGCACCGGGCTTGGAGGATCATCCGGAGACGGTAGGCCCGGCGTGTGCGGTTGGCCAGGCTGCTTATTGTTGGGAAATTATAAAACATCATAAATAAATAGCAGGCAAGATTTACATTTTCGTCGGCGACTGTCGAGGGTCGGTCACACTTTAATTGCCGAAGATAAAAGCGAGTCTAAGCGGATCTCTTTGGGCCGGGAAACGTGTATAGTACACAGAGTGCGGTCCAGTGATTCATGCTGATCTCTCGCTCTTTCTCTGTATACCCATCTCCCTCTGGGTAATTGATACCCGAGGTGTTGATTTGTAAAACAAAAAACTGTTTGCCCATAAACAAAAAGCCTTGTTATGTGCACGAGTAGAAGCAGTAGAAACAACAACTAAATTTTCGGGAATTTAGATAAGAAGCGAAAATGTTTTCATCCGAAACTGGGAACAGATAAAGCTGGGTCACACCCAATGCAAATCATTGAACCATTAGTAAGGGAAACTGAGTAGATTTCAGTTTCCCCTCTGAACCTCTGATGTGGGTCCCCATCTCAAAGACTGACTGACTGACAGACTGATTGTGGGTCCACAGTGAGTAACATACTACCAATCTTTCGCTTTTGATAAGGCTAACTGACTTATCAGCAAGGGGGCTCAAATATTTGATCTGCCTGTTATGATTTCTTGTACAAACCCGGAATGTTTATGCAAGATTAATGGTCAGGCGCACGCCTTCCTTCCTCGTAAAAGATATGGGCTTGTATACAAATTACGACTTTCCTCTGATCTTGAACTATTAATTAGGCAAATTTCGTTTTGATTTGTGGGCTGGCTGAGCAGCGGATGTACCTAAGTGGAGATTAAAACTTGAAGCTTAAGCTGGGAATTTTTGGTAGTGGGAAAGGGCTTTGTTTTATGGGTTAAACATCCAAATATGCAAATGGATATATTTATTAGATAAGAACTGGAGTTGAAATGGAGATATACACAAACATACAAATGCAAACATATATGCAATGAATATGTTTAGAATATATATATTACAGCTTCACTGGAAATCTATGTTTAAACACAAACACCCAAAGTCATAACTACCTACAACAAGTAGGTACGTTTGTTTATATTCAAAAAAGAATAACAAAATTGTTTTCGTCTATTGTTTTTCGTCTATATAAATTCGCTGTTTTCCTTATATTTAAAAAGGCGAAAATGATATTATGTCTTTTAAAGGATATAAAATCTAGATAAACCAAAAATATGAAAAATGTCTTTAGACAAAATGTAAAAAAGAGAAACAAAAGGACACAAATTTCTTTGGCTACATCTGCACACAGCAACTGACATATTGTCAAACATCGGGCATGAAGGATCCTTTTGCTACGAGCCTGATCCTCTTTTGTGCGACACCTTTGGAAAAACTGTCAATAAGCGAGGGCATTGTTCGACCTCAGCCAAATGCAGCTGCCTTTTGCCATCGAACTGCGAATCATTTCCTCGGCCTGGGGAACAAAGCCAGGGAACAGGATCCTGCAAGGACATGTGGCTGCCAGAGGACAGCTTATTGGCCAGGCAGAAAATCTCAAATCGAACGAGAGCATCTGCATCTGTCATGGCCGACATGTGCCAGCAAGATGCGAATGATTTTTGGCGGTAAACTGGAATTAACACAGGATTTTCGGTAAAGAAATGGCCGAAACAGGGAAGGGTTCACTTAATTACTATTTGTCGGATTTTAATGTTCACTTAATGAAAATGTGCACATTTATTATATTTAAAAAGGCATTGCATTGAAGCAATAATTTGAGAACTTTGTTGTATTACAACTAAAACTACACTTAAAACAAATATTTTGATTAATTTTAAATTTAATTTTGGATACAGTTTTTTATCCTCTAAAAATCAAGTCAAATTTGTCAATTAAAATATAATCTCCTAAAGATCTGGTCACCCTGGAGAAACTTTCAGCTGGAACTGTAGCTAAAGCTGAATGAACTCATTTCCCATTGCTCATGTTGGCTCAGCTTCTAAGCGGCTTTCTTGCTTTGGCTTTCTGGCCATTAACAGAGCGGAGAGAGAGCCAAGTCTGCTCTCTCCTCTTGGTCAGAAAAAGAAAAAAAGAAGCTACTTTTCTTGTTGCCTCTTAGTTTTATGGCTCTTTTTTTCGGCAACATGCTCAGTCAACCTTGGCAAGGCCGTTGTTGCCGGTTTTTTATGCTGCCTCTATAAAGTGTGTGTGTGTGTGTGTGTGTGTGTGCTTGTGAGTATCTGTGAGTGGGCCCCAGTGGCTATGTGTTTTTGCGTAGGTTTTCTTTGGTATGCGGCCAACGGAAGTCGGGAATGGGTCATAATCAACATATCCCTATGCTCCCCTCTTTTCCACATTTCCACTCCTGGCCAACAGATGTTGAGACCCTTTGGGTAATTGCAAGGCAATGGCTTGTTGGCATCATTAGAGCCGCGTTTGGGTAAATATAGCAATTACAGTATCCGCACCATGTCCTGTTGCCAAATTGAGCGAAAAGCGCTGGAAAGGAAGCCCATAGAAATTGAAAGAGAACAAAGGAAATCGAGTGTGGAAATTAACAGTTGCAACCTTAGGCAAGGAAATGGGTTGGAATGTACTGTAACTTTTAAGTTTTAAACATACAAATGGTTACACATTAACCGATTTAAATAAAATTATACGATCAATCTATTAGATAATGTTAATACGTAAACATTAGCAAGTAATTTAAACAGAAATTATAAGCAGGTTACAATTTAAAAATAAATACGTGTAACATATATTTAACCATTCGCCAGAAATGTAAACATGTACATTTAACTATATAAATACATTAAAATTATGAACAAATATTTGAATTTACATTAATGATCTTCTTAAAATATTGCAAATGCTGTTTCAAAAGAGAATTTCATAACTTTACTCAATTAACCACTATTTGGGCCCTTTGATCGATGGTTTTCAACCACCGCACAGTGGTAGAAATGATCAATTACAATGCATACATCATTACTTGCTACTTGTAAGGCTCTAATAATGTTAAGTTCATTTCAATAAATTAGGTTATTAAAAGTGTTTTACTTTTTGGGGAAAACAGGTATAAAAATATAATTCTATTAAAAAAATTACTCATCCGCCATGTTGTTCGAATAAACTTGAAAGCTAGACTCTCAATTAAAAAGGCTTAAGATCCATTTGCTTAACTTAAGGTTAAGCTTACACTAGCTACATTTATAAATAAAACAAAAATTATATATCTAAAAAAGTTTGAAAAAATTTATCAACTAAAACTCTAGCTGCTGTCGTGTTTATGAGTTTAATGTGCCCACTGTGCAGACCGTTGAACAACAAAACACTCTCTCCCAAGCAATCTCTCTCTCCCTCCCTGTTGGTAACAAAAACTCCCCCGAAATGTATCCTTCTCGCTCTAAAATGCATTGCCAGTGCAGATCGCCACATGCTGCCTCGCTTGCACAGCTCCCGTATGCCACATCCTATGCGACTGTGTGAGTGAGCTGCTGAGAGAGCGAGAGTTTCAGAGCGGCTTGAACGTTTTTGCCGTTGCTGCTTCAATTCAATCGCTTTCGAGAAGTCAACGCAAACGGTTCGTATTCGTGAAGTTCGCATCTGAACGAAACAAAAAACAAGACAAACGATGCGCGTGCGCCGTGCGAATTTCGCAAAGTTTTGAAATAGTCAAGATCTGATGTGATGTGCCTATAAACAGTGCAATTACCAAAAATAATAGAAAAACAGCAAACAAGACATACTTGCCCATTGAAACACTCTTGGATTAGTTTCACGACAAGCTAAAAAAATATAAACCAAACACACAAAACAATATGGTTCGCAGTTTGGCCCAGTGGACGAAGACGTTGAGCTTCCCCTCACGTCTCTCGCCCAATCGCAATTCCAAGGACTGCTCCACATTGGCAGGTCCTGTGCCACCACCCACTCCGCCCCGAAATAAGACGACCTCCAGCGGCAGCGGAAACTGCGCCACATCGCGATCCTCCTCGTCGACGGTGTCCTCATCGCACTCGTCCTCCCACAGTTCGCCCACTCCCGGAAACAACAACAACAACATGCCCATCACGGAACTAGAACAGATTGTAAGTTTACCAAAAATTATAGTTTTAGAGGGAACGAACCAAAAATTGGTTACATTTCTTATTCAAAACATTGCATTACGCGTGAAGGAAAAAATATTGCAAAATTCATATCTTTGCTAAATTTAGTTATATTTCATTCTAGAGGTACTTGCTATTATATAGTAGTTGATAATACCATTATAAATGATAGGAACAGAAATTTCAAATTGAAAAGATTAGTAAGAGGGTAATAAACCAAAAACGGAATTTAAATATCTTCGAAAGCAGCTTATTTAGCCTTTAAAAACAAATACAGGAAAATGTATATCTTTGTTAGATTGAATTCCATATAATAAGATAAGTTTTATGAATATAGTAATAACAGTTGTTAATATAACCAATAAAATATTATTCACAATACAATATATCAAAGACTTTATTGCCAATGGAAATGTAATATTTTATTGATTATAATAATATAACTGATTACTGATCATTAAATTCCTGTGACTCAGTCGAGATCATCAATAAAACATTTTCTTCAAAAAGCCTGCAAAAAAATTCCGAATAATATTTATATTCATATTCATAAACAAACAGCCAGATAGGGGTTATCACAGAGGTGAGGTAAGCAGCTTGAGCAGCAGGGATCACAATCATATCCGTCCCCCTGTGGATGGGACTTCCTGTTTTGGCGAGCCAGCTGTGCAAACATTTAACAACCCAAATCTAAAGCACGCATATAATTTCCACAGCCATAAAAGCCTTTGCCAAGTAAGTTTGCCTGGCCGAGTGCATTCCGTTCCTGATAAAGCTCATTGACCCAGTTGATTGGGCCCTAGACCAGAGACCACAGAAAGACCAGAGACCAGACCAGATACTAGGACTTAGCCGGCACTTATCATTATCAATCAATCAGTTTCGTAAAACAAATAGTCGTATGTGGAGCGTGGAATATTCAACTGATAGCGGATTTCCACACCCGATAAGCGGGCTGACAACTATCGAATACACTATATGTATGGGTTTCCCGCAGCAAGTCGGCTGCAATTAAGCCCCCACTATTTGATGGCCAAGTTGAGAGCAATTTGCCAAAGCTGTGCGACAGATTGCCGCGCGGCTCACTCAAACACATGGCAGGAAAATGGGAATAAAAAATGGAAAAAAATACCGAAAGAAATGGAAAAATAAAAATCCGAAAAGCAAACAGGATGTAGATGGGCTGGGAACATTTTTAGGGATACAGACAGGCCGCCGATCTTGGGCGACAACATATGGTCGCAATGTGGATTGATTTCTTGAAATGGAAAGAAGAACCGGATCGAATGGGGTAAAAAGGTATAGGGTAGTAGTTTTTAGGAAAAAGATTTACCTAGAAATACAATGTTTGGTTTAATAATTGGAAAATTGAGTTCTGAAAAATATAGAACAAATAAATAAACTATAAATTAAATTTTGCTACTTAAGAGTAAAGGAGGTATCAATAAAGTTTATTGTCTTTAAATATTTCCATCGAATAAACCCATTTCAATGCGAATTCTAGTGGACAATTTGCCTAGAAATTATTTAAAAGTAATAATCTAAAATCTAGAATCGTTTCTAATAACAAATCAAAGTGACTGAAACTTAGAAGTTATTATTTAGAAGTATAAGCTGCATACCTTAAGTTTATACCATCTGAAATTACATTTTCCCACCGACTAAGCCCATTTGAAAGCGGATTCGAGTGGGCAATGCCATCAGAATTCCCGTAGTTCGATTTCGCTGGCATTTTTTCGCAATCCGCTTTTGACATTCTCCCTGGTCAGTGGATTCCGCAGACGAGAGTTGCATTCATTTGCAGACATAGACTCGGACCCAGACCCACTGCGAACCACACCCACGCGGCACGACTACGACTGGCTGGAAAAAAAAATAAGACAAAACACCATTAATAATGAAAAAATGAGACGGCACGAGCATGCCACAGTTTTCAACGGCGTCAGGGAAATGGAAAATCGTGACCAGCGGCGACGAGGCGCCGGCAACGCATCTGCGGAAAATGCCAAAGTTGAAGAGCACTTTAGATTCGAAGGAGCCCAACCGTTAGGCGAAGAAAAACCAAATGAGCAGCCCGAGTTGAGCTTATGTAAGGCAGCAGCTTCACATATTTGCCATTTGCGAAAAACACAACAAAAACAGAAACAAATCAACCAGTGCTCAGAAAAACAAGTTTCTTGTTTTGGTTTTGGTTTCTTAGACCAACGAATCGGTCGGAAAAGTTGCCCAACGGCTTTTCAGCTGCTGCTGCTGCTGCTGCTGGTGGAGTTGCAGTGCAAAGTACAAACATCCTTGGGCAAAGGTAAACCAGTTAACCAGTTCCAGTTGCCAACTTTTTCAACGGGGGCGTCTGCCCTGTTTCCCTGGCCTTCTGGCATTCCTGGAATTTCGCAATTATAGTGCAACCCGTTAAGTGGCGGAAGTCTGGTGGATTTTTTCCCACCGATCCAGAACTGATTCGCTTTAATCCCGTTGCATTTCCCATTTTCCCACTGGGAAGTGGCTTAACATGTGGTCAACAGATTAGTTTTATATGAATTTTTAATGGTTTTGAAAATATGTTGATATCATAATAAGCTCTCAGTAACATAAAAAGTCAATATTTTATTTATGCTTGAAACTAGTTTCCTCCCATCCAGAACGAATTTGCCATTTTCCTACTGGGAAATTACTTAAAACATTCTCAACACATTAGTTTTATATGAATTCTAAATGGCTAAGTATTTAAAAAAATATAAAGATGGTAATTTAATATATTTTTAACAATATTTTAGGCAACATGTATTAATTCTTTGTTATTAATAGTACCTTTTGTAAATATTATTCCTATTAAATATCATAACAAGCTATTATCAATTTGAAATTGAACACCATATTTGTTTGTCAACCTGCAGAACGTGCTGAACCTTTGTTTCCATAAACATTTCGCTTTCGATTAGCAATCAATTAACATATTGCTGGTAATGACACATTTCGCTCTGGCGCTGACTCAACAGATTTCTCCCATTCTCCGACTTTTAAAGACCTTGTCAATGCGAAATATTTTTGCTAATAGCAGCCAAAATGTTGGCCAAAGTCTGACGACCCCAAAAAAACAAAAAACACCGATGGTTAACTGCATTTCCTGTCGCTTTTCCAGACAACCAGCTGCCAACCAGAATTAAATAAAGGTCATCATACCAGCATTAAAAAGAGCCACGAAGTGTGACAGCTGCACAGAAGTTCACCTGCTTGCAACTAAAGAAGTTTGGTAACCAAACAAGGAGCGATATAATACAGAAACTAGAACATCTAATCACTGTATATCAAAGTCATAATTTATCAATTTCTTGCGGCAAACGCATGCAAATTCATCACTGTGATTAACAGCGGCAAAGAGCAGCATTTAATATGGGTATATACACTGATAAAAAAGGAATAGTGCAAATAAACATGTGGCAATTTAAATTTAAAATTGTGTAAAATGCAATGCATATACAAATATTTAAATTAATGTGGAAAATATTTGATTTCAAACAGGTTATATTTTATTGATTTTTTTGGAATAAATTTGAATGTCTGAAAACTTAAATCAAATTAAAATCATAAATTTTATTCTTTTAAATACAATTTTAAGGTTTCCATATTAATTAAATAATTCCATTTTTAAAATAACGAAATACAGCAATGGATGAAAATTAGAGCTACAAATATTAAAATTGAGTATTAGTAATGGACTTACTACTTTTCTTTAGGAGTGTAGCTATGGGTGTATAGTATTGCAGGTGGAGAGGGAGCAAAAAAAAGCAGCAACATGGTGTTTTTACCTGTTTAGAAATCAGCTGCTCTGCTCCGCTTTGTCCCCTCTTTTTTTGTATTTTTCTGCAGGTGAAACCAGTTTTCTGGCTTTGGTCATGTTTTGTTTTCATTTTTTCTCGATGTTTTGTGTCTTGTGTTTTGTATTTTGCAGCTGTCTGCTATTGTGAAGCTGCTGCTGCTGCTGCTGCTGCTGCTGCTGCTGCTGCTGCTGCTGCTGCTGCTGCTGCTGCTGCTGCTGCTGCTGGGTAAACGAGCATACATATTGCTGAAATTACATACTGGCTGAGAAGAGTATTTTGTGAAATTGACAAAACTGCGCATCAGCTGTTTTATCGGTTTCCTTTATGGCTCACAAATTTGCCATCGTTGCACTTTTAAATCCGGCTTCAATGCATTTTATTAGGTCACAACACAACGGCAATTCATATACTCATAACTTTACCAACCAGTCGCACAGACTGTGGGAAGTTTTGGCCTTAGGCAAACACCCCAAATAAAAAAGCTAATTAGTGTTCCAGCTGCGGGTAAATATCAAAAACATTTAGCACAGTTTTCATAGAGCTTATAATGTTGATACTGTAGCAGCAGCTCCATATGAATGCTGAGAATTTCTTAGGCAAACATACAGACCCAGTCTCGGAATATAGTATAAAAAGCTAATGCCAATGCTCACGTACCAAATAAAAAGCATGCCAGTGGCGTTTTTACAGAGGGGGTATTAGTGCCTATATAGTGGACCCATGCCAAGTTCTCCCTTTTATGCGTAACACAAATGAACCTCAACATATTTTGGTTTTATTTGTTGGGAATATTTTGTATGTTAACTGAACAAACGGAAGTTCTCCCAGCGTGTGGTGCTTACCAATAATGAAAGGTGCTAAGTTTCCATACCCATTCCCTCATGTTTTGATGATCTTTTGGTTAGCAGCCTGAAAGATCGTGGTCCAGAAGAATAATAGAACATTCTGTGGACCCAAAACGATAACGCCTGTATTCAGATTCGGTTTAAATTGCTTTATTGTGGCATTTAGTTATCATAAATATGAATTTTTTTTGTATTTATGTGGGAACATGTAATAACATTATGCCTTTTCTAAAGATATTTGATTTTTACTTATCATGGAGTAAACTTTTTTGTATTTATGTGGGAAAATGTAAAAATATTAGACTTACCCTTTCTTACTGATTAACTGGAGATATTTGATATTTATTTATAACAGAGAAAACTTCTTTATATTTATGTGGAAACCTGTAATGACATTACTTCTTAAATAGAATCCCGCATAACTTGAAAACTAATTTGGATAATGACACAAACAAATCAGTGCTGGTCCCAACGGAGTGCAACCCTTCAAATTAAAGTGCCTTCCAATCAATTTGTCTATTAATAAAGCCCCAAGAGTATAACGAACCCCAAAGATTTCCGGCCGCCCAAAAACTTTCAACAGAAGCATAAACAATGGGATATAGATACATGTTGTATAGGATGATTGAAGCCAGAAGACCAGAGACCATAAAATCAAAAACAAACTTCTTCGTCTATGAGCGCCTTGAACTTTAAAGCGAAATGATTTAGGTTGGGGGGGTATTTTCCAAGTAGGAGGCATAAGTCTTGCACGGAATCGAATGCATTCGATGTCTAAAATTATAAATTTGTTTTCCTGACTCTATTCCTAACTTAATTGCCACTCCAGGAGATGGTTGCCTGCCATAAAAATAAAACAAAATGCGCCAACAACTGCTGTTGCTCATAAATAATGCGTTTGTTCACTCATTTTGTATTTTGTATTTTTCTGTGTTTCCACTTTCATTGGCCTGAACATTGATTTGCTTTGGAGTTGTTTTCTTTTCTATACGTTTTTATGTTATTTTTTAATTGCCGCAGCCTGAAAATTTGGCCACGCTTTCGTGTCTGAATTGGAATTTCAATTGGCCTTTGTCTGCGGCTTTACATAAGAACCAATCAAACTGAATGACTCTCTGAGCAGTTGAATAACAATATTCTTTATTTCCTTTTGGTAGGAAAAAAGCAAAAGTTTGCTTAATTATATAATCATCAAAACGGCCTCCATCTTTACTCCATCTTTGTGTGGTCCCAAAGTCAAAGTAAATTAACCTTAGCAGAGCGGCAAGTAATTGCCACTAAAAAGTCTTCCCCCTCTTTAACTTTTTCTTTTTCCGCTTGGAGCATAATTGTTTGGTTTCCCCGTAAACATTTGAAGCCAACGGTTGACAAACAGCTTTTGATCTCTGATCTTCTCGGATGCTGCTGCATGTTCTTCATTAAACCGTCCACTACATGATACGGAATTTGGCGTAAACATCGCCCCATTTGTTTACGGCCCAACTCCAATTGAGTGGCAGTTACTTCCTGAACGATCTGCTCTGTGTGGGTGGGTGGCTTGTACTCTTCGATTTCGAAGACCAATTGCCCAATTGGTCCATGGCCTCGTCTAGAGTTCAACCGCACAGTTCACCACCACTCAAGAGTTGACATTAAACAGCAGAGCAGCAAACTCGTTTTCACGTTAAATGAAATTACCAGGCAAACGGCGATTCCATAGAAATAATATTTTTATTTTTTTTTGTTCCACTACGCCCATTTCGGTTGAGGGCACATGGGATCCCATGTGTTAATTGCTTATTATATCTTCGTTTTTATGTCTGTCTCGGGGACCAGAACCACAAACAGAACCCGAACCAGTACCAGATGCAGCGACATGTTCATTTATCAAAAGTCAAGCCACGCTCTCGACAGAAAACTGCAGATAAGGTCAATTAAAAGAGTCAACCGGAAATGTCGCGACGCTCGGTTAGGAGCCCATAGGAGATCCCATACAACATCTCTCTTTCTTCTCATTACATTAATGGCTTGTCAAATATCTCTGTATCGAATAATTAACATATACAATATATGTATATCCTGGGAATTCGAAATGGGGGCGTTGTAATTAGATTAGGCGCCTGCGGAAAGTCATAAATATTTTCGCACAACAACGCAATTTATTATTTTAATCAACCGGATGTGAAGTCGCACTCCGCTCGCCGTCGTCCCCAGCAATTAAAAGCATTAAGCAGCAGTGCATGGGGGAAAAGCTGGGGAGCAGAAAACCAGAAGCGGGTGCAGTTCTTTCAGCTTTCCTTTTTTTCAGTTTTTTAGTTCTTTAAACCCGAAGTACGAGTATGGGCAGTCAAGCGATGGCATATAAGCGATGCCCAAAAAGAACGTTAGAAGGTAGGACAGGAAGTGCATGTCTGGGAGTGTCTACTGCCTAGTGTCTAGTGTATAGTACCCAGTCCATAGGAACATGAGCAGTCGAGTGTGAAAAACCCTCGAGGGAAATGCAGCCAAAGGTGGCAGGCAGGTAGCCGGAAAATCAATATCAGCGATATGCTGGATAAACAACAGCAGGTCGAGGGGTTTGCCCAGATAAGAAGTGCCATTTTCTGGCTATCAGCTTGGGAAAGCAAATCTCAAATGTCTTTATAAGTTGGCGAGGGAGCTCAAGGAACTCATTAGTTTCATTTCAACTTCCGCACTTGTAAAGTCATTTGATACTCCATTTAAAAACGTTTTGGCAAAGTACAAATTTATTTAGGTACTGAGAAGATAAAAAAGATTGTAAAACCAAATAGTTTTAAATAATATTATTTAATTATGCACTTATACATATATGAATAGATATTTATAACTTTAAATGTTTATCAAATTTATTGATTGATTGTCCTAACTGAACAGAGATAACAACTATGAAATAAAGGAATGTAAATAAATATAATGTGAAATATTTCAGATTTATACAAATAAAAATCTCAATAAACGTGAAATAAAATAATTGCAGATTTTTATAGATACAAATCTTAAATAACAAGTTTTATTAATTAAAGTTATAGATATTCTTAGCTTAAAAATTTAATCATTTACATATATCAATCTCAATTTGTCAACGATCTCAACTCACCTGATTTCTTTCCCTCCTTTTTGCAGATATATCCCGGTCCCGATCCGAAGCATATCATGGGCTCCCTGGTGTTCTGCATCCACCACAAGCAGGGCTGTAAGTGGTCCGACGAGCTGCGCAAGTTGAAGGGTCACCTCAACGTCTGCAAGCACGACGCCACGCAGTGTCCGAATAAGTGTGGAGCACAGATACCCCGGATCATGATGACGGACCACTTGCAATACACCTGCACGATGAGGCGCACTCGCTGCGAATTCTGCCAGAGTGAATTCTCCGGCGCCGGATTGGAGGAGCACAATGGGAGTTGTGGCCAGGAACCGGTTTACTGCGAGGCCAAGTGCGGCCAGAGGATCCTGCGCGGCAGGATGACGCTGCACAAGTCCAAGGATTGTGCGAAGCGACTTCGCCGATGTGCCCACTGCCAGCGTGAGTTCTCGGCGGACACATTGCCCCTCCATGCTGCCCAGTGCCCCAGGGCTCCGCTCTCCTGCCCACAGAGATGTGAGGCGGGTCCCATTGCGCGTGGCGAACTGGAGGCCCATCTGCGCGACGAGTGCCAATCGCTGGCCGTGACCTGCAGCTTCAAGGAGGCGGGCTGCCGCTTCAAGGGACCACGTCAGATGCTGGAGGCGCATCTGGAGAGCAATGCCGCCGCCCATCTGTCCCTGATGGTGGCCTTGAGCTCGCGACAGGGTCAGCAAATCCAGATGCTCAAGTCGGCGGTGTCGAAGCTCTCCATTAACTATACTGGCACGTTGCTGTGGAAAATCACCGATTGGTCGGCCAAGATGTCCGAGGCCAGGGGCAAGGATGGCCTGGAGCTGGTCTCCCCGCCCTTCTACACCTCCCAGTATGGCTACAAGCTGCAGGCTTCGATGTTCCTCAATGGCAATGGTCCCGGCGAGAATACCCATGTGTCCGTGTACATAAAGGTCCTGCCTGGGGAATATGATGCCCTGCTCAAGTGGCCCTTCTCGCACTCCATCACCTTTACGCTGTTCGAGCAGGGAGCACAGAGCGGTCAGGGCGGAGTGGCCGAGTCCTTCGTGCCGGATCCCACCTGGGAGAACTTCCAGCGACCCTCAAACGAACCAGATCAACTGGGCTTTGGATTTCCGCGCTTCATCTCACACGAACTGCTGCACAGTAGACCCTTCATCAAGAGCGACACCGTTTTCCTGCGCGTGAAAGTGGATCCCAGCAAAATAGTGGCCGTATAGGAGGAACAAAAGAAAAGGCCTAGCTTAGCTTAAACATTTACTCGACTTGTGTAAATACTGTGTATTTAAATTTATGAGTAAATCGCCCCTAGATTATTCAGTACCAGCGGCAACTTCGGGCAAATGTTGGCCTACAAATGCTAACCAACCTTGGAATGTTGACCGCTGGGCCACTGCATCGTAGTCATACTCGTGTTTCGTTTAGGTTTTTGCAGTGCTGAAATTAAACCAAAGCATACTTACGCATTAGAGTTAAGCAATTCAATTCAACGCATATACATATAAGTGTGTAGCTACGCCTAAGTTCGTGTCTTAAGTCTTTTGCTTAGAGATTTGTATTATTGCGCGCGAGATTGCGATCACTTTCAAAAGATCTTCAAAACTAGACCGTACGCTCAAAATCAGTTAGACCATATAAGTTGCATGTACATAGCGTTAAATTCGGAGCAGCCGCAGCAACCGCAAACCTAGTTCTAGTTCTTAGTCTGTAGTTAGTTGCTAGAGCCAACGCATTAGTCATTAGTACCATGAAGAGAAAAACATAAACATGAGAATCCAACTTTCAGCATAGTCAACTAAGTTTATGTTTAAAAGCTACAAAGTCAAACATACAATAAAATAAAAGCAATTATAAATGAAAATTATAAGTGTTTATTTGGTATTATTGCAACATTTGTAATTCCAGCAGTGATATTTTGGTAATGTGGGAAAGAAATAAAATAGTAAAGTTTTAAATGATCCAGCAATCAAATTTCAGAAATGAGCTCTGGTCAGGAGGCTACATTTCTTATATGATACATTTAACTAAGGATTTAAAAATACAATATAATGAAGTAATTTAAAATGATAATTTGAAAAGCTTATTTGGTAATGAGGGGATAGAAATGGTCCAGCAATGAAATAATGGTATGGGAGTACCTAATTTAACAAATTCATAAATTTCTAGCCTTTTTTCTATGATCAAGAATGTGCCTCTTGAGAACATAACGCCTCCCAAAAGTCCTTGAGCAATGAGTACACGGGTATGGTCCTTTCTTCCTGTGCGTCCCTTCGTGCATCTTAAGATAGATTGGAAACGAAAAGAAGATGTTGCAGGTGTTACACTCGTATGGACCTGTCCGCAAATGAGTGCCAACGTGCGCGTCGCAATCTTTTTGTACTAAGAATGAAAGCGGGCAGTGGGGACACTGGAATTTCAAGGTGGCAGTATCGAAATATTTCAAGCACGCCTGCTCGCCGACATGTGCTTCGAAACTTGGGTATTTCGCAAAGGGTCGCTCGCACTGATCACACTGGAAGGGTCCTTCGCCCATGTGACTGCTCCGGATGTGATTCCTCAGCACATACCGACATGGCAACATCTTTAGACAATAGGAGCACGTAAAGGTGTCGGAGCCACAAATATGGGATATAAGATCTTCCTGTTCGAAACAAGGCCTCTTGCAGTTCACACATTTAATAGCGAGTACCGCTTTCTCAGTCTCGTGCGTCTTCATGTGAGCCATAAAAAATGTCTGGTGTAAGAATTTTTTCGAACATATCGGGCACTTGTACGGCGATTCGCCCGTGAGCTCTGTTGAATAGCCCGCCTCATGGCTACGTATGTGATATTTAAGAAATTCTGCTGTGGAGAAGGTCTTTGGACATTTGGGGCACTCGTAGGCTGGTTTACTTGCCTCAATAGCTTTGTGTTCCTGGATGTGAGCATATAGCGTGACAGCTTGTTGGTACACCTTTGGGCATTTGGGGCAAGTTTGCCACAGATTTCCTTCAATATTTGTTTCCGTATGCGTCCGCAGATGGGCTATGAAATTGGGCTTGTGCAGGAATATCTTGGGGCATTGAGGACACCTGTGCGGCGGTTGATCTATGAACTTCATAGCGTTCTTTTCCTCTTGACTTGGAATGAGCTGGGGCAGGAACTGGCTTTTCTTCCTCCGATTTGGGATTTTACGACTTTGTACTTTAGTTGGCAAAGAGCTTGAGCTTCTAAAAATATAGGAAAGAATTAAATAAGGTTAGTTTCTCTAGAAGGGATTGTGTCTTGCCTTTGACTAGTGGGCGGAGGTTCCTTGTGCTGGAAGTGATCCTCCTCCTTTAGCTCCTGATTCGGGATATCAGATGTCAGAGAGATGGAGTTTCTAAGAAATAGAATAAATCATTGGAAAGATGGCTTTCACTGCGAGGGATTAGCTCTTGCCTTTCGTTGATTCCTTTATTGGGAACTTCTTCGTATGGGTCATCTTCAATTGGCTCGTTTCTCACCAGGATTTCATCATCCATCTCCTCTTTGATCTCTTCCTTTACTTGGTCACCTATCTTTTTGTAATCCTCTGATGATGCTCTCATAGTCGCACTGGCGTTATGTGCATCCTCCAGACAAGTGGGACAAATGGTTTCCGGAAATGAGTCTCCTTTCTCCACACGCAAGCCTGTGCTCTGGGAGATCAGAGTGGCTATCGGAATGTCCGACGAATCCAGCGTGTTGTCGAATATGTTGACCATGTTCTCGCTCTGCAACATGCAAACCCGGCATGTCTGCAACGCTGGCTCTTCCTTGCATTCTGTTATTATGAAATATTCTCCCTGAAAAGGTTCCTCATCGAGGATTTCATCCTTAACTTTCGTTTGGACACCCGGGTGTTGGGTTCCAAATGTATCCAAATGCAGGCACTGCAGGCACAGGGTTTTCGGCACTGAATCTCCACGTTTCACCAGCAGCCCCGGTCTCAACTTGCAAAATTGGCAGCGGCTCTCCATCGCCCTATAATCGTGAAAAAAGATACATATATGCCAAAATAGTTAAGCATTTAAAAACAATTTCTCACCCAGTTGTTTACAATTTCGCAGGGCTAAGCAATACTGCTGTTTCCATGCGAAACTTTTCAACACTGTGCTTGGAAACATATGTTTTGCTATCGAACAGCTATCGATATTTGAAAATATCATCTCATTTTTCCCGATCTTGTACTGCAAGTGTTTCTTACTCCGAAAAATGGACAAATTGCAAGCATATAGTAGCTAAAACATGGAATGTCATTCATGGCTGGACTCGTAAAAAGATTCTCCATCGATTTGCATTCAAACCTAAAAGTTTTTTCCCGCCAAAATGATCTAATTTTTATGATAGTTACATCACTTACAAATTCATTTTCGGAGTAAAATGGATTGATCGGGATCGTTTATTTTAGTGTGAGTCCTTTTTTAGGCGATTTATTATTATATTCAACTTTTCGGAGTAATTTTTAGGAAACCCTTTTTAGTTCTTCATAAAAATTCCATGATAAATTTATATAAAAAGTTTTACAAATTCTGGTTACTTAAAAACAACTTTTTGTTAAACAAAAGTCTAAAGTTTTATTGACATTTATAAAGTAGATGGATGGATTGCAAATAATACAAAACTTAACTACAAAACTGAATATGTCATTTGTCGCTACAAATATAATTATACCAATTACACCGGAGAAGGCTCTATAAAATAATTAAATAAGCATTAACAAATATTGTCAAATCAAAGCGATGGAATGGGAAAATAGATTTACGGCCTAGGGGAAGCGCTTTTTCAGTAGACTCTCTAGTTTCCTGATGCCCGTTTGGGAACTCCCATCGGCATTTCTGTCCGCACTGCCCGTGAAGCTGCCCACGCTGAAGATGAAGGCTCTTTTGGGTGTGGAAGTGGAAGCCGTAGTCGCTGAAGATTCCGTGACTCCTGCCGAGGTTTCGCCTTCTTCAATGGTTCCTGAGGTAACAGCAGGCACTTCCGTGGGCTCTTCATCGCCCGTTGTTGCCTCGATCAAACCACTAACTGTCGCCGCCGAAGCCGTGTGCTTGAAAAGATCGATCAACTGCAGCTGATCCACTCGCTTCACAGCCTTCATGTCCAGTATTTTTTGATATTCCGCTATGGTGATGTCGGGCAGCAGTTTCAGGACCTGCTGGGTAAAGTGCGCCGGCGGCTGCACCGGCGTCATCACCACTTTAATGATCATCTCCGCACGCGTCATGTCCTTGACCACAACTTTGGTGTAACTGGTGGGTGCCTTGCGATTCACACTCGATCCCACCGAAGGCAGCTCCAAAAGGGCCGTCTTCAGCGAATGGGTGTCCAAAAGAAGCTGCTCGCAGCCCAGCACATTATTGGATCCATCCGAAAGGGTTAGTTTGCAGCGGTACAGCACATTAATGAACTTTGGTATGAAAGCAGCCACGAAGCGATGGCAGAATTGGGTAAAGTACTTCCGTGAACTGGCCAGAGTGTCTCTAATGGTAGGCACTGTCTGCTTGAAATTCCCGCAGAGGCTGCTTATAAAAGCACTCTGATCGCCCACATTGTTGATGTGCTGCCACTGCACTTTGGACATTGCCTGCAACGAGGCCTCGCAGCCTGCCTCCAAGTCCTGAACCAAAAGCTGAATGCAATTGGATATGATGCTGTGTGGAGAGATAAGAGAATTAAAATTTATATTACATTTTTGGTATGTGTGTTTAAAAGAACCCTGCATGAGTTTAATTACATTTTAACAAATAGATTCTAATAAATCACTTTAGAAATATATTTGATTCCAGTGTCTCAAGTCGCGAATTCTTTAGAACAAGGTCCTACTAAATTGTTTTTAAATTGTTGCTTATCTTAATAAACTAAAAACTCTTTAGTACACAGCTTTTTTCTTTTAATAAAGTTTAAAGTTTGAACTCTATGAAGCACAGGTCGATTATAGAAACTTTTCATGAGCTGATCTGATTTCTTATAAGCTGAGACTCAAAGGAGTCATGAGCCTCACAAAAAGCATAGATATTATATATAGAAGGGCTCATGAAAACAAAAGGAACCATGACATCAATCATGCAGCTGCCTTTATAGACCTTTCTTTAGCATTTCTGTTCAACTCACCGATGAAACACATCCTTCTCCTCGCTCATATCAATCTTGCTGACATAACCCGAAGTCACTTTCTCCTTTAGCTTATCCTCCAGTTGCTGGACGGTTTCCAGACAGTATTCACCGGTGGTCAGGACGCAGCAGATGCGCACCAGGTCATCCCTTGAGAAGCGCTGCGTGTCGCCTTCTTTCAGAAAGTTGTGAAACACTTGGCCAGCGGCAGTTGACAAGTTCTGCATGTCGCGTGTCAGCAAGGAGACACTTTTGCCTATAGAACTGCCCGTGGTGGCGGCCACCAGCTTAGGTGTGCTGCCTTCCAAAACCTTGGAGGCATACTCCCTTAGATACTTCTTGAACACCAAAGCGAGATCGTACATGGGCTGTTCGTTGCTCAACTGATTGCACTGCACCATGCACTTCTTGTAGAAAACGAAAAGATCTCCTGAGCTGGGGTAAACAGTGGTCTTTGCCTCCGCAAACTTGTAAGGCTCCCGTGACATCTCCACGAACTTGTCCATCAGCTCTGCCAGATTGCGATCGATGCTGCGTATGTAGATGTCCAAGTGCGACTTGAAACATTGCCCGATTTGATCGTGAAAGACGGTCGGGCCCACAGGAGCATCCGTGGAAGATGGGTGCTCTGTTGTGAGCACTCGCGCCTGCTCAGCGGGGTTTGCGCCCAAAGTGACTCCCGTGAAGCGCTTCGAGAGCAGTTGCTCAAAAGCCTGCGTTTTGTTGATGGCAAACAAAAGGAGTCGCACATCGATCTCGTTGGTGCGCTTGGACATGATCTGTGCCAGCTGCTCGCGCGTCTGCCGGCAAAACTCCACTGTTATCCGTTCGGAAACCTCCCAGTCCAAGGGAAACACTGGACCGTACTTGTCCTCGAAGTCCAGAAGATGCCTCTTAAGCCAGGCATAGCGTTTGTCGATCTTGTCCAGCCAGGCAATGTCCTGGTTCTCGTGAAACAGATGTGTGTACTCCTCCAACTGCTGGGCAATGAACCACTTGAGCAGCTCCTTTTTCACTTTGGGATCCAGCACGGACATCACCTTGCAGGCATCGGCCAGTTGATTGAGTCCCAAACGGTGTTGGTTTTGCGCCGCCGGCTTAGCGGCAAAGGCCTCCTTGAAGTCCTCCGTGATTTGCTGCGCCAGAGTCACTTGTATTTTGTCCACGCTCTGCGAGAGATTCTAAAAAGATAAAAAATTAATTTAGTTAATGAAGTTATAGACTTTTTTTTAACAAAAACTACCACCATTTTAAACGATTAATATAAAATAATAATTTAGTTGAATTTGCTTCTTATATAAGTTGATAATTTTTTACATTTATATATATTTTTTTATTAAATATAATTATAAAATAATTTAAAACTTTTGTAATCGACTTTTTTATGTGAACAGTGAGCGTCAAAATTGTTAAACTTTAGTATAAATTGTTCAAAATTATATTTTCCTTGGAGTTTTGATCAAAATCGAATGACTATTAACCATACAATACTATGCCTATTATTCTTGCCGTGTGAAATATACATTTTTGAAGCTTTCCAAATGCAATTTGTTATGTCTGGACTAATCATGTCTTGCCGAGTGGACTGTTATATCCTATAGCTATAGGAACATTAGGGTAAACTTTGATAAACTGAAATCTTTTCGAAAAATTATGCTTATAGCTGTCTTGTTTTGTCTAATATAATGGTTTTAGATCATTTCAGATCCAGGCCTAGAAGGCAAGATAGAGTATTTTAAGTAAAAACTAAAGCTACCTTGATTTCCTCGATGTCGGAGAACTGCTGAAAGTGCTGGTTAACCTCGGTGATGGCCTGCAGGGGATTGAGGATCTCGCCGTAGGACCTGCGCTCTATGAGCTTATTGAGGCTGTCGATGCCACCGACCAGCATGTGCAGGTGATTCAGCGTGGTAATGGCAGCGGTGAGATTCCGCTTGGCGCAATCCAGCTGCTTGATGTCCCGGGTGATCTCCTTGACCATCTCCTCGGTGCGCTCCGCCCGCGTCTTCACGTCGATGATGTGGCTGAACAGGGAGCTGATCACCTTCTGGGCCTCACAAAGTGCCAGCTGGCCATCCTGACCGGTGTTCGTCTGGCCACGGACCACGGATCGGATGTTGTCATCTATGAGCGACACCTCGCACTGCATCTTCTGGATGGTCTCGTCAATCCCGGCCAGCGATTGCTCGTTGGGAAACAACTGGTTGATGTAGTCCACGGTATTAAAGTCTGGCGCATCCATGGGATCATCCGTTTTGAGAACCTTTTATTGGGTGTTTTTGTTTTATGGGTTTGGGTTGCTCCATTTTGCATATGTTCACCAGACTCACCTTGTCGATGACCTGCTTCACCTCCTTGGAGAAGTGGATCTTATTGTTGGCCACCATCCTCTCCTCCGACTCAATGGCTACCGCAGCGTCGCTCATTTTACCTAAATCCCTTTTAATATGTATAAAAACAATTTGTTATTTGTTTTTTTCTTCGTGGAGCAACCAGGGATGGAGAGTGCCAAAACTTTTATCGATAACGGATTGCAACTGGTAAGTATTGAACTGTAAGTCGATAGAACTAGTCATCGGCATTCAAATTGCCTTATGATTATACAAATATAAATTAAAAGCCTAATTGTGTAATTTTAGGCAACTTTCTTTGATATAATATCAATCCGTATATTTCTAAACATTTTAGGACAAAATTAGTTAAATTACTCCTGAAATGAAAATTTTCAGCACTTTGCTTACATATCTATTTATCTCCAAACAGTTCCACAATGATTTTCAATAATCTAGAAGGTTAAATCACTGCGAAAACAGCGAGTTGCTATTGGGACCGGAACTAGAACCCGCCATGGAGGCACTCAGCATGGAGGTGTCCCTTTGGGAGGCTGTAGCAGTTCTCTGATAGCGAGCTATGTGGTCCAGGGAATAGGGCAGGATAGGCCGAACACTGTGGATCTCCAGGAGCGTCAAATTATCCAGTTTTGCATAGGTGCCTTCGCCTTTAATAAAAGCATCTATCGAAGTGCGCAGTTTGGATTCCCTTATGTCAAAGATGTCCTTAATGACAGTGCGCAACTCCTCGCAACGAGGAACATCATCAGGTGCCGTGCTCATGACCAACTGGGCCACCACCATATAATGCTCGCAGGGCATTTTGGTAAAGAATCTATTGGGTAACTAAACTGTTAAATATGTTTTATAAAACAAATCCACCTACAAACATACTTTGAACGTTTCTCCTCCTCCTTGATTTCCTCCAATATATCCATATCCATCCATTCTGGCGGCACAATCCGGCACTTTTGTTGCTTGCGCAGATGCGTGGCCATCCACAGGGGCACAAAGACGGGAAAACCGGCACGAAAAGGACCCACCGATCCGTAGATAAGATGCAGGGGCTCGTTGGAGAAGTTTGGAATAATGCTGATCATGCACTTTTCGCCAATAAATTCAATAATTGAAGGATCCATTTCTGGGCAAAGCAAAACATAAACAAATAAGTGAGTGAACGGTCACACTGGGGACTGGCGATGGCACCTCCATGCTATCGATCTTTGCAGAGATTTTAACAGTCTGGCAGCCCTGCCCTTTTGTCGACCGTTAAAAACGGTTTTATTTTTCTCAAACAATCTGCTTGCATCACAAAGCTTTTTCCTGCGTCAGTTTAATCACGTCAAACGGCTTAATGGCCATAGACCGCAACTATAAATATGAGAACGTAATATGGCGACCTCCACTGGGGTTATCATCTCACTATTCCTAATCGCCGACCGGATCGGTTTGAATTGGATTGAATGCACCGATGCAACTAATGTCCCGCCGGAGCTGACTAATTTGTGCGCCCGATGCGAAACTGTTATTGCAGATTCCGGCTAAGGCACAGCAAGGCAACTATCAAACCACAATAATCACGTAAAACGCCAGCCGTTTGTCGTGATAAGCGCATGAATGCCAAACATGATCAAGCGTTTCAAGTTCAGCCAAGTTTTCCTTTTAATAATATAGAGTATATAAGTTTTGGGCCTGGCCAGGCGTAATCCCTTGCAACACATCACTAAAATGCACTAGATAGTCTGCTCTTATCAGTCTTACTGTATCTTTTCTGGCTAATAAAACTATTCGCGGTCGCGACAAGGTTAGATTTGCATTTGAAGATCAAGGGATCTGCAGATTTCTCTATCAAATAGAGTGACGAAAATAGAAAATTGAAATCTTCTGTCTACATGTCGGTATAGGTTCAGTCTTTTTAAGTCCAGACGAGTAAACAACAGCATCGATTTGTTGACTTATCGCTTTGGGAGACAACATCGATGGGTGGTGGAGGGGTGCACCCAGAGAAAAATCATGGTAAATCCAAATATTTTCACTTTGAATTAAATATTTTCGGTTCTGATTTAGCCCCAAGGAGTGGTGTGTATAAATCAAGGTGTGTTACACATTCATTACTATTTTTAAGTCTGCAAAAATGTAGTTTTAAATTTAAAAAAAATGTAATTTACGATTTTCCTATTGGATAAACCCATTAAATATGTTAATCATGTTTACTGTTTAATTTTACTATGGGGTTTTTCTCTGGGTGTATTGAATGGGGCGGTGATCTGGGATGGGAGGTTGCCGTGAAATCTTGCCGAGCTGATAATACCAGGCGCGGCCAGTTAAATCTAGAAAACTAGCTGGCAAACTGTGTAAACTGTGGAACCGAAAGATCATAAGGAAAACCATGACCTCCAACCCCTTTTTCAAGGACTTGAGTGTATAGTATGTCCATTTGGCCAGGACAGGAGCCACATTCTCCGTTGAAAAATCAGTAATCGTAAGCGTATCAGCGGGTGAAACTGTAAGCTGGACGATTTTCTGATAAGCCGGACGGAGAGACATCGAACGTGGACTGTGGAACCCAAGAGATTTCACAGGCATTCAATTTTAGCAGAAAAGTGCGACTTGAGCGGCTAGTTGGCTTAGTGCTTGTCTATTTTCGGCAGGGTACGGAGCTGCTGGCTCTCAACTCGCAACGCAGCCAGGAAAACCTCTGATTTCCACCTACAAAATTGCATCTGGAGAGAAGCGATAAGAGTCGAGGTTCGAGTCTTCCATCAGCGAATTTGAAATTTGAAATTAGCAATTTGAAATTTGCAATTTCGGCAACGGAAGAACCACACAGTGATAAGACACATCCGCGAGCATTCGCATCGGTTCTGGCCAAAAATTATGTGCTAAATTCGTTTCTACTCACCCCAAAGCGAAGTTTTTTTTATCAAGTCCAAAAGCTACTTCAAGTCCTTAGCTGATTTTTCAAAAAAAATATATCAGAATGCCCGACACGGAGATCATCGTTACCAATGCCGGGGAGCCATCCACCAAGGCGAGTCTCATCGTGGTTTCCAATCGGCTGCCATTTGTGCTGATCCGAAATCCCAAAACCGATGAGCTGGAACGCAGAGCCAGGTGAGTGGGAGGCATATTCAAAAGTGTTCATAAATGTGTATGTTAAAAAACATAATGTTTGCTATTAGGTGTTCAAATAAAAAGTTTTTGATAAAAACTATTACGTTTACGATGAGTTTTATAGCTAAAATTGTGACTTATGTAATCTTTAATATGTTTAATACATCAAAATTGTTTTAAAAAAATACCTGTTTACTATACATTACATAATCAGAAGAATTGAGTCCAGAAAAAAATATTTTCATATTTTACAATAATTAACAGCTAAGAAACCAAAAGTGATCTTTAAACAATTATACAACCCAAATACTTTTATTTTTTAAAAAGTAAAGTAGTTAAAATAAATTGTGATTAAAAAAATCAGTTACAAAAACTAAAAGTTATCTTGTTTTGAAAACGAAAAGCAACTTTAAGAACTAGTATTAGTTTAAAAAAAAAGAGTACTCCCATAATATCAAAAAATGTTTAATATTTAAAAATAAAAAAAAAATGTTCATTTTATATATGAACATGAAATCAGCTGGAAAACCAAAAGTGATCTTGTAACAAAAAAATGTCTATAAATTCTAAAATTAGTTCTTGGAGAATTGTACCTCTCCCACATCTTTAATCAACCTAAATATTAAATCAATCACGAACAAAGGAAATTTTTGATTTGTCATAAGAATCAAATAATACGGCATTATTCGATGATGCTGTCGTAAGTAGGCGGCTTATCAATTGTCCGTATTTGGGAGCCAAGGCAAATTTCCATGTTCTTCGCACTCCCGAAAATCCCCAAGTAACCCAGTTCGATCCTCTAGAGCAATTTGCATAGAAGATAAGCCGCCTGACAGCCAACGCCACCCAATAAATGACCCCCAATTTCAAACCCCCCTTCAACAATTTTAGTTTCAACTATGTGCTATACCTATACACTTAAAGAAAAAACGGCATAGTCTAGTTAAATACGTTTATATTTTTATGTAACTCAATTGTTTTAAGCATAAACTACTTTAAAAAACCTTCAAACATACTAATTTATTTATTTTAATAACTTATATTTTAAATTAATATTTTTCTTTAAGAAAAATTAAATTTTTCTATATTCAAAATATAGTTATATTTTGGGTGTTACACTCCAGTTTACAGACAACATAATATATCAGTACCATAAACATTTACTTTAAAGTGTAAATATTAGAATTGAGCATGTTTTTTCTCTCGGTGTAGCACGGTTCATGTTGATCTCCGCTGGGTTTTCAAATCTTATCAGTGCAAAACACACACAGAGTGAGAAGCGGAGTCTGGGCTTTGATTTAGAAAACAAATTCAATAATACTCGTAATGATGGCGGTTTTTAGTCTTATCAGCGAGGTTCGTTACGCGTTTTTGACCCTTTGCGATGTGTCTGGTAAAAGGGTCAATTCCAGTCCCAAAGGCGTTATACTAAGGCCGTTGTCCAGTGGTGGCGAAACCAGTGAACCTGACACTGAAACCCCGAGTCACGTGAATGCGATGGCCTCGTTTTGTGTCCGACCTATGCCAGGAATGGCTTTTCCTAGGGCCTCTTTGGCTCCGGAAGATTCTCTCTGAGGTGTCCAGATGGACCACTGACCAGAGCCCCATCATCCCGAGCTTGTTTACAATCTCCGCCTTAATGGGGCTCAATCTTATCAGTGCCCGGGTGTCATGCACTCTGCACAAAATGGGCTGGGTCCTCACCAACACCAACACTCACACGATCGTAGATTCCGTCCGGTCCAGTGCCTCTGGTACACCTGATTACGTCTTTCATCCGTCGGAGAAGAAGACCAGCACGTTTACATCACACTGTTTACGTATTCCATTGAATAGCGGGGTATATATCGATTTCAACTTGGTTGTAGGACCAAAGAATATCTTTTAAAGCATTCTTCTTTAGTAAAAATTAACAAAGTTTATTAAATATATTTTAAAGAAAAATATTTTAGAGTACTAGCACTTTTATATTTTTAGAAAAGTCTATATTAAGTAACATATATAAACTTAACTGAAAAATAAATTTTTAACCACTCACAGCATATATTTAATAATGCATAAAAAATTTGTTTTTTTTAATTTTATAGGGATTAACATCATAAAACAAAAAGATTCTATAATAGCTCACATAAATGATTGATTGTAAATTTATATAATAACACTTTAAAATGCGACTTAGTAGCTTAACTGGTTAAATTTTGAGTTCTTGAAAAAAACAGATATCTTAAATTACATAATATCTTTTTAAGAACTAATCTTAAGAAAATTATTATTTGAGAAAAGACAAAAAAAAGGCTTAAATTGTTACTTTCCTAAAATATCCTTCTTAGTTCATAGATATACATAGTAACTTACTCTGTTTTTCAGTGCTGGTGGCCTGGTGACGGCTGTGTGCCCGGTGGTTATTAAGGGCAGTGGCCTCTGGGTGGGCTGGTCGGGAATCCATTTGAAGGATCCCAACGAGGCGATTCCCGAGTCGAATCCCAATGATCAGACGCCCACGGCTGGGCTCAAGTCGGACCAGGTGGTGTCTGTGAACATCGACTCCAAGATTTTCGACAGCTACTACAATGGATGCTGCAACAAGATCTTCTGGCCCCTGTTCCACTCGATGCCGGGACGAGCCAACTTTGGAGGTGAGCACTGGCACGACTATGTGACCGTGAACAAGCACTTTGCGGTGCGGACCATCGAGGCACTGGAGAAGTGTCTGGCCAAGAACGAGGGCAGCGAGAAGAGTCCTCCGATTGTGTGGATCCACGACTACCATCTCATGCTGGCCGCCAACTGGGTGAGGGAGCACGCCGAGGAGAAGAACCTGCCATGTCGACTGGCCTTCTTCCTGCACATCCCCTTCCCGCCGTGGGACATCTTCCGTCTGCTGCCCTGGTCCGATGAAATCCTGCAGGTGAGTAGAGCTTCTATAAGGGGGGAATCAAAAGAGAACCGTTGAGGTCACCAAATTAAAAATAATATTGCAGAAAAAGGCTATACATCACTTAATATGCCAGGAAATAAATAACTCGCTTTCCCTTCTAATTTTAGGAAAATTTGGGCATTTATAAGGGGGGAAACAGGAGAAAAAGATCAGAAAGATTGAGGTCACCAAATAAAGAACAGTCATGAGCAACTCCTTTTCCATCTTGTTTTTGGGTCATGTTGGGCTTTAAGAAAGGAGAAAGAAAGATAAGAACAATTGAGGTCACCAAAGGGGCTTTGAAAGATGTCTAAGAGTATGCAGTGAAATTTTGTTGCATACTTTCAGACACCTTGATAAGTCAATGCAAAACTTGATGATTTTTGTAGCCCCTTTTTGTAGCTTCACCTTAGTTCCTAGAAGATCATATATAACTCACTTACCCTCCCGTTTTGCAGGGCATGTTGGGCTGCGATCTGGTGGGCTTCCACATCCAGGACTACTGCCTGAACTTCGTGGACTGCTGCCAGCGGAATCTGGGCTGCCGCGTGGACAGGAACAACCTGCTGGTGGAGCACGGCGGTCGCACAGTGCGCGTTCGTCCGCTGCCCATCGGCATTCCCTACGAGCGCTTCGTCAACCTGGCCACCACGGCGCCCAAGGTGCTGAAGACCTCCAAGATGCAGATCATCCTGGGCGTGGACCGACTGGACTACACCAAGGGCCTGGTCCATCGCCTGATGGCCTTCGAGGCCCTGCTGCTGAAGTATCCGCAGCACAAGGAGAAGGTCAGCCTGCTGCAGATCTCGGTGCCCTCGCGTACGGACGTCAAGGAGTATCGGGAGCTGAAGGAGGAGGTGGACCAGCTGGTGGGCCGCATCAATGGTCGATTCACCACCGCCAACTGGGCGCCCATTCGCTACATCTACGACTATGTCAGCCAGGATGAGCTGGCCGCCTTGTACCGGGATGCGGCCGTGTGTCTGGTGACGCCCCTTCGGGATGGCATGAACCTGGTGGCCAAGGAGTTCGTGGCCTGCCAGATCAACGAGGTGCCCGGCGTCCTGGTCATCTCCCCCTTCGCCGGAGCCGGCGAGATGATGCACGAGGCGCTGCTCTGCAATCCGTACGAGGTGAACGAGGCCGCGGAGGTGATCCACCGGGCGTTGACCATGCCCGAGGACGAGCGAGTGCTGCGGATGGCACGTCTGCGCCGGCGGGAGGCCGAGTGCGATGTCAGCCACTGGATGCGCTGCTTCCTGAAGGCGGTGGGAGCTTTGGAGATGGACGATGTGGGCACCACCATCATGCAACCGGTCTCCGTGGACGACTTCGATGACTACTTACTGAAGTGAGTATTTGATATAACCTTAGCTAAATGTTTATTCGGCCAATATTTATCAGCACACCAAAAACGGTCCAAATCGCATCATTATTTTAAAAGTTATTAGAAAGTTCTTAGAGAGTTCTTATATTTGAGAGAGCGGAAGAGAGCAAAACAAATCTCTCTGTAGTTGTGGTGTTGGCCCCGAAGATGGCGCCACGTAAGCCTCGACTGATTTCTGGGGGCATAACTATTTTGAAATTTTTAAACTGAGTAAAGGGGTTTAAATAATATTTATTTTTTATATTTTTAAATGATAAAGTAAACCTTAAAATTCATTTACCTGAACCTGAGTAAGCAATCCACAAAGCTGAATGAGGGGTATCTAAAAGCCGTCCTTCTTGTTTGTTTTTAAATTATAAATTAATCCTTTAAATTCCTTTCCCAGATACATCGGCTATAACCACAAGTTGGCCCTGCTGCTGGACTACGACGGCACCCTGGCGCCCATTGCCCCTCATCCGGATCTGGCCACGCTCTCGCCGGAGATCAAGAATGTGCTCTACAAGCTGTCCAACCATTCCGACGTCTATGTGGCCGTCATCTCCGGTCGCAATGTGGACAATGTTAAGAAGATGGTCGGCATCGAGGGCATCACCTATGCTGGCAATCACGGCCTGGAGATTCTCCATCCGGACGGCAGCAAGTTCGTGCATCCCATGCCCATTGAGTACGAAAAGAAGGTCAGCGATCTGCTGAAGGCTCTCCAGGATTCCGTGTGCCGCGATGGCGCCTGGGTGGAGAACAAGGGGGCACTGCTGACGTTCCACTACCGCGAGACGCCCAATCATCTGAGAGGTGCCATGGTGGACAAGGCGCGCTCCTTGATCGAGAAGTACGGTTTCAAGGCCACCGAGGCGCATTGCGCTTTGGAGGCACGTCCGCCTGTCCAGTGGAACAAGGGTCGCGCCTCCATCTACATCCTGCGCACATCCTTCGGCGTGGACTGGAACGAACGCATCAAGATTATCTATGTGGGCGATGATCTGACAGACGAGGATGCCATGGTGGTAAGTTGTTGATCAGGGATTCCATTCTTCTAGCTTGGATTTTCTCAAATGGTTTCTGTTCCTCTGCCAACCAGGCTCTCAAGGGAATGGCGCGAACTTTCCGGGTGACCTCCTCGGACATTGTGAAGACCGCTGCGGATCACCGACTGCCCTCCACCGACTCCGTGTACACGCTGCTGAAATGGGTGGAACGGCACTTCATGGGACGCAAGGCGCGCGCCAATTCGCTGACCTACAGGCCCACCAAAGGCGATGGCGTCCAGATGCAGATGTCCCTTGAGGTCTCCTCCTCGGCCAACAATCTGGAGGTGTGATCGCGTATATCGGCAACCTCGTAACTCAGATAACTTGTAAGATTTTTAAGAATAAACAAAACGGAATTGTAGCTTAAAGAAAAATGTACAATTGATTTCGCTTAAATTTTTTTTGGTTACGCTATGGAACGTGCACTGTTTTCTTTCTCTTTACAAACTAATCACACTTAGTGGTTTTAATTGTGGGACAAGACCAGCCACGAGATGATGAAGAAGAACAGAAAGATGGGGTAGACGGCCAAGGGTTTGCGATGTGGCGGCTGACTCTGGCCCAGAAAAACAAAGGAGGCTGCAAGACAAGAATGTCATTAATTGGCTATTCCAACCATTTCGTGCTTTTTACCCATGGTGCATTCTGCAATAGATTATTCTTACCGTAGGTGGCCCAGGCAAAGCCCATGGTGGTGGTCACGAAGCGCAGAAAGAAGAGCAGACTCGTCTGAGTGGACAGCAGGATTACCCGGCACACAATCAGGGAAATGGCCACTGGTGTGAGGCAATAGCCAAGCACGCAGACGGATTGGAAGAATGAGCTGGGGGGTGGATGGAAAACACATATCGTATTAGTTACTAAACCAATTTGGAGAGTGGTTCTACTGACATATTGCCGCCGAGCAGCTTGGAATTGAGTGTGACTATGGCCGCTCCTATCCAGACGATGACGAAGACCTGGGCGAACTCGGGCCCATTGTCGGACATGCTGTCGGAGGAGCCCTGCAGAATGGTGGCCATGAAGGTGCACAGCACCAGCGGACCCCAAAGGTCCCCTAAAAAAGAAAACACAAACACACAATTAGCAAACTGCCTACGAATGCAGATCAGTAGACAAATGATGACGTACAATCCCGCAGCAGACTGGACTTCTCCTTGGGATACAGCACATGGTAGAACTTGATGCCCACGGCACGGATGTCCCGCAAAACAGTCTCCCGGATGGGTTCGTCCAAGGTGTTGTAATCCGGCACTCCACTTGCATTCGTTGCAGTTGTGGTCCTTTTGCCCGGAATGGACATGTCGCCCTCTAAAGACGGCGACGTGTTCACGTCCTCAAACATCTAGAGTGCCACGAAGTAAACCCAATATTACAAATTATAGGTTTTTAACAATGCTTACTCACATCTAGTTTGGAATCCATGGCTTTTTATCTCGTAAATAATACGTTTACATTACATACGTATTTATCGATAAGTTCGCCAGCTAATGCAAAGTGTGACCGTTCCCTGTTTGCCACTTATACCAAGTAACCGATATCTGCTTTTGCCGCCAGACTTACGGTGAGATTGGTGAGAATTGTCGATTGAAAATGTATACTTAACTTTAAAATAGGTAAAATCGTTTTTATTGAAAGTCTAATATATTAATAATTTAATATCAAAAAGTTTTGATTTCTAGGATTATGCGCTGAAATAAAAAGCTTTGGCAACACTTTCGTACATATCTAATTTCCCAGAACTTACAAATAAAAAAAAGGGATTCACCCAAAAAAAATTCCAGAAGAAAGCGTAATTATGGATTATCAAAGGTCCTCACCTAAAAATTTGATGCCAATGCTCCAAAATTCCTTGGATCTTGATAATGCCTTCGACGCGGAACAATTTGAATGGTTATTGCAATGGAGCAAGCTTTTTTGCCGGGAAACCGACATGGATCATACGGATCTGCAAATGCAAGTACTATCCGTCGATTCCCAGAAGCAAAAGCTTACCCACGAGCTGGATCAACTAAGGGAACAGCTCAGGGATGGAAATCAGGGTAACCAGGAACTCCAGAAGGCCCTTGAAAAGGTTACCTATGACTTTCAGTTCGCCAATTCGCAGAAGGAACAACTAACGATTGAGCGGGATAGCATGATATTGCAGTTGGAAGAGAAGGATATTCAGTTGAAAGGAATCGAGGCCAAGCTGAAGGAGCAGATCCGCTCGATGCAGGTCATCATTTCGGAGTCCCAGCAGCAAATCTCCCAAAAGGAACAAATGCGCCTCGAGTTGCTGAAGAATCTCGAAGCTCAGGAGCAAATGCATCTGCAGCAAATGGAGGCACAGAAGCAGAGTCTGGAGGAGAACAACCTGGACAGCATCACTTGCTCCATCTGCCTGGTGGCCTGGGATGCAAGTGGTGGCCATCGGGTCGTCTCTCTGAGATGTGGACATCTCTTCGGGGATTCTTGCATTCGAGCTTACCTAATGAGAAGTACTGACTGCCCGATTTGCAGACAGACGGCATATGCCCAGGATCTTCGCTATATCTTCGGTCGTCATATCATGCCGAACCCAACGCAGTGTTCCCAATACTAACAAATATTTTATTGTTATTACCTTTAACTATGAGTTCTTATTTTTTTTTTCTTTTTTGAACTACATATGTACGCCACTCAAGAAAAATGCATACAACACAGAAATTTAAACAATGCTTTGTTTACATATCGAATTCTTGGAATATTGTTTTCATCTCACATAATGCCTTGTCATCTATTTTTTTTAATCCAAAGCCATGAATAAGTTTATATGTAACTTCCTACTTTTTAATTACTTTGTAATTCTTGAATTTTGGCGCCAGCCAAAACAGGAATATTTCGGCTGGCTTGTTGATTGGTTTATGCATCAACAAAGAACCAAAACCAAACCAAATCATAAAAAATAGTTTTATCTGAAACCAAATAAAATTATGCGAAAAATAAGTCCTTTGTTGTTTACGAATATATTTTTGTTTTATTAAATGCTAAAGAAAGTTAAAGCAATAACATAATATTCCCAATTTTTAATTTTGTAATATATCTATTTTAGTCGCAGCAACAACATAAATGTTAAGACTTCCTTTTTATCTTTGTGCATCAAATATTTTTTAATTATAAATGCTGTTTATAAAAGGGGATTATCTGAGTGTTCAAACGACAGAGTTCGCAAGAAGTTATTGTAAAAATAGAAATATTTATATTTAAAATATGTAGTTTAACAGACAACCGAAAGATTTAAAAATAAACAAATACTAAACATAGCTAGAATAGATAGATGTGTCTTGGAGCCAGCTAAAATGGGCATCTCTATTCTAGTGTGACCGCACTGCGCACAGAACTGTTGCAAACACTTTATCGGCGAAACCAAAACTAAACAGAAGCAAAGTTTAGTAAACTATGCTGTAGGCGGACGTAAATTCTTGAGCTGCAGCCGCGCAGGAGCAAGTCGAGAGGAAAATGACCGCGGAAAGTGCGGAAAAGCGGACGAGTCCGGAGCACGAGCAGCGGGGATTGACCACCAAAGTGGCGCTGCGGCGTCTGCATGAGGAGATTGAAAGGGTGCTCCACGAACACGAGCGGCAATACGGCACGGAAAGGTAAATTATATCTATATCTATAGATATGTACTGATAATAGGCAAATGTACATATACACACAGCTCCTATCGAAAGTTGCGGGCGGCATTTGTGAAGCGTTACGACAGCCCACTGGGATGGCTTTCCATTGGAGCCAGTTTGCTGGCCAGCGGAGCACTCCTCATCACGGGCATGTTGTGGCCGGCTCTGTGCCTCCTGGCCATCCTGTCCCTCGATCTTTTCGTCGTGGTGCGGGAGAACAACCTGCGGCGCACGGAGATCTACCGGAAAACCCGACATGCCATGGCGGAACTGCAACTGGCGGAGCAGCATTTCAGCGATGATTGGCAGCCAGCTAATTATCCGCACCTGAGCAACCCCATGTCGCCCTGCGTTTCGCTGCAGTGGACCTATCGTGATGGCAAGATTGTCAATCTGCCCTGGGCTTTGCTTGTGCGCGGAGATCATATTGTTCTACGGCCGGGTCACATTTCACCAGGTGCCTGTCACGAACTGGAAACGAACAAGTTCTTTGCGGCCAACGAAATCTATGGTGCAGCGCCGCATGGCGATCCTCCCGTGAAGCCAGTGGCCCGGCCGCCACTGCCCGATCTTGTGTGCTGCCTGGAGGGCACACCCTACCTGGACAACCTCACGGTTTGCTTGAAGCAATCCCTAAAGCGACCGCCCACCATCTACAATCAGCAGCGCTATCTGGTGAGGAGATCTCTCTTGGAAATACCAATTAAAACCCCTTCTTATCTCTACCGTGTTACGTCCACAGCTGGTCACCAAGTACATACAGCAGTGGGGCTTCATCAGTGCCCTGGTTATCACGCTCATCTCGGGCTTACTGCGACTCCATGGCTATGGCCTGCCCACCGACGAGAAGCACAACTGGCGCTTCGTGCTCATCGAATCACCGGCGGCGGCTATTATACCTCTTCTCCCCCTGATCTTTCCGCTCATGTGGATATCCATGAATCTGTGGGGCATTGCGAGGCTGCAGTGCTTTCTGAAAACCCCGCAGGCTTCGCTGGAGAAGAGCACAAGCAAATCGTTCGAGGAGGATCTGGACACGCCTTCATATGACTATCAAAATGTGTCGCTGCTTCGCTCCAATGTCTTCCGCATCTGGATGCAGTTGTGGCGCGGCGATAGTGAACTGTTGCCGCGCTCAGCCAATTTGGTACAGGTGCTGGGCTCCATTTCGGCGCTCTGCTGCGTGGACAAGAAGGGCATCCTGTCGTGGCCCAATCCCACTGCCGAAAAGGTATTCTTTCTGCACAACACCGACGAGGAGGCGCGCGAAGATGGAGCGGGCAGTCAGTCATCGTCGCAGAGCGAAAGCGACGATGTGCCGGATGTGGATGAGGATCACAAGGAGCGGGGCATAGTGGCCGAAGTGCTGGACCTAACGCACGATCAGCACTGCCCGTTCCGTCTGGAGTTCGACGATCACGAGTGGAAGGCGCACATCAAGTCCCTGAAGCCACTGGGTGATACCAAAAACTTCAATTTCGATTAGTAATCGTAATAAGTAAACGTATGGTAAACTATTGCAGGCCTGGCCATTCTGCTAAACACCTGTTCGCCGCTCACCCACGAGCATTATGCACAATTCTGCGGCCATGTCACCGCCGTGGCCATGCTTGACAAAGATCTGGTGCCAGTGACTAATCGGTATGCGTATGCACTCATTGAGTCGAGTAAAAGCTTTTTGCATGGGTACGTAGTTCATTGCCATACTCATCGTTAGTTTCTGTCTAACCAAATCATATATATCAATGGTCAATATTGACCGCAAATCAACTACTTATATAGTCTAATGATTTTCTCCAAAAATGGTATTGCATATACCAATGCATCCAAAGCCAGCCCGATCAAATTAGTCTTTGCTTTGGGTATTTTTGATTTTTGAATCCAATTGGACGATTCTTCTTCCCCCACAAAAACCAAACAAACAAACACAAGCGATTGGTAATGATTTGAAAATTACAAGCGTAAGAACAAAAAGTATTTTTGATTTCCAATAGCTCGCTATTTCCTAATCGTTTTGCTCTATAATTTCCCACATATGTAACTCATTCGAGCCTTAAAACTAACTGCCATGTCGACACACATAAACCTTGTATTTATTATACTACTTTGCCCATTTTCATTTGTTTGTACTCGTATCCCCATCCCCATTGGCATGCTATTTTGAGTAACAAACGTTCAAGAACGCTTAAATATAGTCACCACTGCCCCGTTCCGATTGCCATCCCCATTTCCATTCCCACTGCCCCGTACCGCTGTCCACCACGCTTGCCTGCATGCTCACGCACCGCCACCGCCAACGCCACCGCATCCAGCGGCAGTGGGAACCAGTTCTAATCGGTTTCTCTCCACCACCAGACGCTGCCTGTGCGAGCTGGCCAAACAGATCGGATTCACCGACCATGCCACCGATCGCTTCGCTTTGGAGGGTCAACTGGCCAGCTACCGCCATTTGGTAAGTATCGGATGCTTGGTACTTAGCTGGAAAATACCCGAAAAATATTGGCTACTTCCGCATTATACAGCTGCGGTCAAAGTAATACTCGCCTTTTAGGTTATAGGAAAATAGTTTTTTTTTTTTTAAGAGTATTATCTATATGGGAAAAATATAAAAAGCCGCATTTGAAATAAGAAACAAAAAAAATAAAATGAAATATTAACAAAAAAGATTGTTTGAAAACATTTTTAAATATTTATTTTGTTTTAATCTTTTATATTCCTATCCAAAGTCCAGTTGAACAATGATTTTTAGTGTCTTTCTTAACATTTCCTAATGTTATAGGAAATATATTCAGACTGTTAGAAATTATTTGGAATGTGATATTTGTTTATAAATTACCAAACATTTAATTTAAAACGTTAGTCTTCAATGATTATTCTTCATTCAAAATTGGTAGTAAAGAATCTGATAAGCTATTGCTATAAATCCATTGTAAAGCTTTTGGATCAGTTGTTACCATCAGAAAAAATAAAACAAAATAGTAGTTTACAAGAAAATAAAACTAAACTCTTAAAAACTGGATTAAAAATCGTAATAATAATTAAAATCTCCTTTTTTTTTCCCAGCAACCAGATGTGGTGCGCAGGGACATTCGCTTCGCCCGGCAGCTGCAGCTGTCCACCAAGGTGAAGGTTCCGTTTCCGCACTCCCTGTCCGTGGTGATGCGCGAGAATCCTGGAGGCTACCTATCCCTCTTCACCCAGGGAACGGCTGATATTATTCTGGACTGCTGCGACGACTTTTGGGATGGCATCGACCTGCGCCCGCTGTCCGCACAGGATCGAAAGAGGGCACTGGACTTTTACCAGCGCAGTGCGTTGACCTCCTACTGCACGGCCTTTGCCTATCGCCCCCTGCGGCACGGAATCCACGGGGCACTGAGTGGCCCCCAGCGGAGCGGAGGTGAGTGTCTGTATCTGGAGTTGCCGCCGGAGTCGAAGCTGCGCATGCAGCATGTGGACAAGACGCACTGCGACTTCCAGGGCGGCCATCATGTGAAGCTGAGCCACAGCATCAGCACGGACTCGCTGCTCTTCTCGGAGAGCAAGGACGAGGAGTGCAACGATGTGGAGGGCTGCTTCGAGATGCAGTGCCATCAGGTGTTCATCGGCATGGTCACGATGCAGTATCAGGCGCAGAACGACATTGTTCGCCTGGTCGAGCATCTGGAGCGGGCCTGCATTCGCTTTGTGCACTTCAGCAAGGAGAACGAACTGCGATCGCGGGTCTTCTCCGAAAAGATGGGCCTGGAGTCCGGCTGGAACTGCCACATATCGCTGCTCAGCGAACCGGAGCCGGAGAACGAAAAGGATCGCAGCGTCACGGCCAAGACGGCCAAGGAGTTGCCGCCGGAACATATTGGTAAAGTCCACGTTACAACCCCAACCACTGCCATAGCCACAACAGACCATGAGAACATGAGCCATCATCCCAGTGCCAAAGTCATGAACATATCGCCCCCAGCACCAGCACCAGCATCCGCAACCGAATTCGAAACCATAAACGATGCTAAAACCACTGATATTATAGGTGATGGCCCGGAGAAAAGTTACCTTCTGGGGCCACCCAACAATCTGGAGTCCTCGAAAACCTTGAGTTCGTCAGCTCCTGGTGCCATTTCCAATCCGGATGAGTGCAATCCGCTCAACAGTGAGGCGGCCTCTTCACCGGACAACGAGGGCAGCAAGGAGAGCTCTCCGAAGAGTAAACCACCTGGAGAATCGGAACTGGAGGGGGAAACCGATCCTGGCAAGCACAAACAGCAGCGTCATTCGCTGGACTCGGCCATGGATGAAAACTGCCGCTCGCTGAGCACACTCACCGAGAGCACGGATCAGAGTGCTCCCATCAACTTCGACATGTCCAACCGGGCCAAGTTGCCGCGAGGCATTGAGAACATCAGGCCGCATTTGGAGCAGGTGGACAATGTGCCGCTGCAGGTCTCCCTCTTCACAGACTGTTCGGCGGAGGCCACGCGCCAAATGCTGGACATTATGCAGTCCTACGGCGAGATAGTCGTCTGCCTGGGCAGCTCGGCTAGCAATGCCAATGCGGATATCTTTCTGCAGGCGGATTGCAGTATAGCCGTGGAGCCACTGTATCCGCAGGTTTGCCAGGATGTAGATGCCTACACGGAAGCCAATATACACCACAACAAGCTGCTGTGGCAGCGCCAGTCGAAGGGCAAGGCCAAGGGCCACAACGATGCGGAGGAGCTGCTGGAGTCGGGTCTGCAGGGATGCGCCATGCAGACGCCGGCGCACACCATCTCACCGCTGTATCTCAGTCGGCTACTGAACTCACTGCCCTGCTCCATTGCCGTCTGTCGCGAAGACCCGCTTTCGCTGGTGGCCATAATTGAGCTGTCACGACGCTTCTCGCTGGGATTGTGGAACTGCATCCAGTACTGGGCCTGCTGCGCCGGCTCCATCTCCATCCTAAACGTGCTGTGCGCGTGCCTCTCGCTGCCGCCACTGCTCACCCCGCTGCTGGCCATCTATCTGATGTGCGTCCCAGTGCCGCTGATAGCCATCTCCCTCGCCCACATCGACGTCGATCCCAAAATCATGAACAGGGCCACAAGCAAAAAGCAAACTGACTACGATTCGCGCGCCTTTGCCTTTGTCATGTGGTGCTACGGCTGCAAGTTCATCGCTCTGGTCGTGACCATGGTGAGTTTTCAATGGGGAATTGAGTATATAGTACTTCTATTTAAAATTCGATCCAAAAATAATTGAAAAAGATATGTCTAGTGTTTAGAATGACCGCGTAGAATCAACTGCTAATTTACTTTCTATAGGCGTTTGCAAAACAATTGAATATAATAATTTCAAACTTTAAATGATTTTTCACGAAATGACATTTTTGAATCATTGACCAAAGTGACTTGAAAACTATTGAGCTAATCTTATTTAATAGAGATTTTAATTTAAATAAATAATTTTAATTTAATTTTATTGATTTTTAATGAAAGACTATTTAATAGTTTAAATGTCTAACTTAAACTATTGATAATTTTTGGTTTCGTTTAATTAAGTTTACAACAATTAGGGAAGGGACATAAAACTACACAATTCTTCAGTATTTTTGTAGTTTTTTGCGCTGCCACTAGTGATAGCCTCATAAACAATATTTTAAAAATATTTTAGCTTGTTTCCTACTGGATGTTTTTATCTGAGCCGAGATTAAACCCTGCCACAGAAGCTACAGAAGATACAATTGCATTAGATTTAGAAGCTGACGATGATGATGACGATGAGGACTTCTACCAGTTTCTTTATTTCGCTCGAAGTTGTGCCTTGCTGGGGATCATACTACACTTTGGTGAATATACTTGACATGCTACGGTTAAGGAACTCTTGTTAAACTGATTTGTATGCTTTCAGTTTTCATATCCTTTACATTTGTGCATCGTGATCATGCGCTCTGGCAGCGCAATCCATTTACCAATCGAATTTGGGCCATTACCTGCTTGTTGTTGGTCCTCTTCCATGGAGTAACATGTTTTGTGCAATTGCTTGTGGAGGATTTCGACGAACAGTTGCCCAAATTGTGGGTGGCCATGTTGGTCTTGTTTGGCGGCAGTTTGCTGAGCATGATTGTCAGTGAGCTGGCAAAGTTCCAGGAGAACAAGTGCGTGTTAACTATGATTTCTTCCTGATGATTCAACTATTAATTAAATTCCTTTTTCTCCATTTTAGGGTCAATGCGCGCTATCAGCGTCGTGCGCGTCTTGACTTTGGCACCAAATTGGGCATGAACTCGCCCTTCTGAGAGTCACGGCTAGGACTAAGACCAAACGAAACGAAAAGACGCCAATGTTACACACATGTACTTAGTGCCAAGGCTGTATATAACACCACCACTCAACACACGCTATTTCTTATTTTTTATTACTTTAACGATACGATGCAGACTAACCATTGGGGTATTTCAAAGCCGTTTGTTTGACTTTGTTTGTAGAATCGGCCAAAGTTATTGTACCCACCATTTGTACTTCCACGTGTTTATTTTAATTTTGCGACAACACATTTGTTATTCTTGTTTCTAAAACGGTTTGTTTCGAGTTCCTTGTTTCAATGAGAGATAACTTTGTGTACTAACATTCAAAAGACTTGCAATTAATGTATGAAATATATGTATGTATGGTAAAACTGAAAATCCATCTTTAAACAAGTAAAAGTTGAAGGCATTTTGAATGGTGGTCCAATTGGGAAAGTGGCATGCCCAGAACTGGTTCTCGAAATTGAGTTGTGAACATATAGCACGTACATATATGTATATACCACGCCTGAATAGTTGCTAATTGGAAGAGGCACGCTGTAGCAAGTGCGGCAGTTACTGACCCACATCTCCATCTCCATAAGGAAACATATATTATTGTCTTTACTTTGAACTAGAAATCGTTTAATTTGGGTTACGCATGGTTTTGGTTTGGAGAAGTTCGAAGAGGTATGTTCAAACGATTGACACGTTATTAATTAGCACCTTTAAGGCGCCAAAATTAAATTCTTTGAATTTTTCATTCATGTGTTGAAAGTAAAAAACACGAAAATAGTAATAAAAGAGCTTTGAATTGTAAGTAGAATAATATTTACTATAGAACCTGAACCAATTTTGAAAATAATTATTAATAATAAAAATTATAGGTAGATTAAGATTAACTATGCCTTTTTGTTTTAAGCAAATTAAAACAAATTTGATATATCTTTTTATAAGAGGGTACAATAATTTTAGTAAATATTAAAATGATGCCAATTATGAGAAGAATTAAAAAAAAAATGAAAAGTTTATCTGAACTAATTAAAACAAATGAAACATACATTTGGTATAAACTATTACTATTACTTACTATGCGATTCAGTGCTTCAGTTTTTTATATGTGCTAAAAATAATAAACATGAAAATAATACGTTAAAAGGTAGACTATTTGGATGGTTTTTAAAGTACTTAATATAATAATTGGAATTAGATCAACAAAAAAAATGTATCTGAAAGAAATAAAACACATTAAATTAAGTATATCATAGTGATCCCATATGTTTCTTATTATTTTAATCGTCGAAATTTTTTACTATTTTTTAACTCTCTAGTTTCATTCAACATTTCACTCACTAAATAGAAAGACAGTAGAAAACATGCCTTGGTAATACGATAACTTACTAATTAGTTGCAAAATTAGAGCCACACGCCACATACCATATAGACACTTATGTAGGCATAGATTGGAAGTCTAGTTACATTCCACCCTATATAGATACTTATCGTCTAGATTCCAAGAAGTCGGGAACACATAACGGAAGATGGTATCCGAAATGTGGAGTAACAATTGATTAGCACCTGCGACGTCGACGAAATGAAAGTGCTGTTCTGCCCGTTCGGCATTAAGATCTTTGGTATATGGATCACTTCTAGTAGCACCTTTTGCCCGGAATCTGGGTCATCTGGGAAAAACGAAATCACGAACTCGAGTTGAATAAAACCAATGGCCAGCCAAGTGCTGCCTTGTATTCGACAATTTCTCGCGACGCGAAACGAACCTCCAGCGGATATGTCGAAATCGTAGCCCCCAAAAAGGATATTCAGTGATTAGTGTGGATACAAAATATTGAGAAAAGTGTCCTGAAAGCAGATAAGGATAATAAATATCTAAGGATGCGGTGGACATTGCTGTTGAGTCTGGGACTTTTCTTTGCCTCTGTACAAATTGAAGCCTACTCTCAGGTTTTGGTTAATGGCAATGGAGCCGGAAACGAACAAGGACCTCGTATATTTAAGGCTCTCAATACGGATTTGATATTCCCGAAAACGTAAGTTTAACAGTGCTCGAGGATTGCTGCTCCAGCTTCCTGACCATCCTTCTCCAAACAGTTTCAACTCCAGTGAGAATGTGGTGTCCACCACTGGAGCTCCATACTCCACAACTTCGACATCGCTGCCACCTATTCCGTATAACCACCAATCCGAGGGAACAACTAGTACACCGGTGTTTGTGACCCCCTTGGTTGCTTCACAAGCTGAGAAATCAAGTGATCCTCAACCTAATCCTTCTCCTAGTCCTTCTCCTGCTCCCAATCCTGCTCCCGTATCCGAGGAGCAACCTGAAGAGCCGGTTATAGAAGGAGCCTCCACAGGACGTGCCGTGGATTACCGAACGGCGTATCCCTTTGGCCAACTGATTACTCCTTTGCTGAGGGGCGGCAAGCCACAGCAGTACAATCCACGACCCTCAAAGACACGTGTTTATCCACAAGGTAGTCCATCTTACTACTCCTCATCCTCACGAAATCCATCTCGATATAAGGCTTCGAGGCCCATCTACAAAAAAGGTATCATAATCACATACATTTTTAAAGGGTTCTGGTTAACAACAAACATTTTTCCAGAAATAGTTATTTGGTGACCCCAAAGTCTGAATCTTAAAAATCCCCTTAATGACTATCTAAAAATTTTACATTTTTAAAGATTTAAGACTTCATTTAAAAGATTTAAGTTTCTAATGACCCCAAAGTCCCTCTCTAAAAACGTATTCAAAATTGTACAATAAAATTAAAATTTTGTTTATATATATATATTTTTTTTTGTTAAGAAACTCAAAATATTTTTGCTAGATGGCTTTCATTTAAAATGTATAAGGTTCTGGCTAAAAAATTATAAAAATGTTATATTGAAGTGTTTTGGAAGTGTACATTCCTTATACTAATACTTTAATATATTTGCTAGCATGCTTATCTTTGGTATATGTAATATTCTTGTAAAAAAAAATATTTTTTTTAGAAATAGTTACTTTTTTCCACAAAATCCATCTTTTAATATTATGTAAAAATTTTAAATTTTCCATTTAGAATTTATCATTGTTTTTTATTAGCTCCTTTTGTAAGCATCCTTTCATTCGTTTCGTCTATATTTTCTTTTTTTTATACAATTCTATATAGTTATTTATTTAATTTTCTGTAATACACAGGATTCAGCGATCGCTTCACTCCTGGCGAAGGAACAGCCGCTGGTTTGTTCAAGGGCCACAATCACAACCACGATCACGATCACAGTCACGACCATTCGCATGGACAGGATGGCAAGGTGGCCTCCGGCTCGAATTCCGTGAATTCGTATGTGGCCCCAGGCGATGCCTACTCCTTTCCGCCACTGAACACCAAGTATCCGTCGCCGTCGCAGGATCCCAAGGCGGCAGTGCCATCGGATACGGTGACGAGCTATTTGCCACCTGCATCCGGGGGATTGAGCAATGCTGGCTACTCCTATCCGGGACCCTCGTTTCCGGGTTACAAGTACCCGGGTCCCGTGGCCAATAATAATGGGGATAAAGATACTGCGGCCAGTATGCCAAGTCCATCTCCTCCGGCAGATGATGATCCGGGAAACGATGATGTGATTGGTGTGCTGCCCGCCAGTGCCATGGATAATATTCCCGCCAAGGATCAGGATCAGGATGGCAAGAATGCCGGTGCTCCTGCAGATGGTGGTGATATGGGTGCCCCTGCAGATGGAGGTGACATGGGTGGTGGCGATGATGGTCCACTGCCAGCTCTTCACAATGATGGTTCCCAATCCAATGATGACCACAAATACGATCCTAGTATGGAATATCCTACTCCACCACCTGGTTGGCTGGAAGCTCACCCGGAATCGGCGGCTCCCAAGCCAGAGGATCATGATCATGATCCGGAGCCAGATCACCATGGTCACCATGATCACCACCATGATCACTTTCCCAGCCACTTTGATTACCAGCCCTCGTATCCGGATGACTCCTATCCGGATGTTATCTACGACGATCATCCGCACCATCACCATCATGTGCACCACCCACCACCTCCTCCTCCCCCTCCGCCGCCACCACCACCTCCCCCCGCCACCCACTGAACCACCACCACCGCCTCCTCCGCCACCAGAACCACGTGTGAAGAAGTATAGCTACTTCTACATCGGCCGCAAACTCTGGTACATCCCGCTGTACTTCACCGTGTGGTTCAGCTTCTACATCCTGTGGCTCATCATCAAGTCCATCGGCCGGCACAAGGTTAACCTGCCCAATCACTACGTCTCGCGACGCAGTGCACCCGATCTCGATCTTTTTAGCGATCAGGGTCGCGATGAGTACATAAACGAGATGACCGTTCGGGTGCTGAAGCACATCGATAGCTTTAGGCACAAGTATTTGAACTGAAAAGGAAGCTACCAAACACTTAATGGCTAATAAAAACTTTATTTTATCCAAAACCAACAAGGAGTTTTAAACTTATCTGCAAAAACGATTTTTTCGAAAATTAAGAAAGGGGTTACATCATAAAAATAGCAAAAAATCGACCCGAAATTACAAAACAAGTTTTAAATGCAGCATTTTTGAGCACTTAGCCACAAGACTTTAGAGACATACCACTTCAAAATCGGATGCTTAAAAGAAAAGTTATAGAATTAACACTCTAGGTTTTTGGTCACATTTCTGGGACTATATTTTTCAGAAAAAAATTAGGAGTTTTATCGTAAAAATAGCAACTCAAAATTTCAAAACAAAATTTTAATTGCAGAATTTTAGAGACTTAAGCCACAATAATTTAAAAACATACCACTTTGAAATCGGAGGCCAGGAAGAAAAGTTATGGATTTAGAACTGTAGGTTTTTGGTCACTTTTCTGCAAGGACGGTTTTTTCGGAAATTAAGAAAGGGGTTACATCATAAAAATAGCAAAAAATCGACCCGAAATTATAAACCAATCTTTAAATGCAGAGTTTTAGAGCACAAAGCCACAATACTTTAAAGACATACCACTTTTAAATCGGATGCTTAAAAGAAAAGTTATAGAATTAACACTGTAGGTTTTTGGTCACATTTCTGGGACTATATTTTTCAGAAAAAAATTAGGAGTTTTATCGTAAAAATAACAACTCAAAATTTCAAAACAAAATTTTAATTGCAGAATTTTAGAGACTTAAGCCACAATAATTTAAAAACATACCACTTTGAAATCGGAGGCCAGGAAGAAAAGTTATGGATTTAGAGCTGTAGGTTTTTGGTCACTTTTCTGCAAGGACGGTTTTTTCGGAAATTAAGAAAGGGGTTACATCATAAAAATAGCAAAAAATCGACCCGAAATTATAAACCAATCTTTAAATGCAGAGTTTTAGAGCACAAAGCCACAATACTTTAAAGACATACCACTTTTAAATCGGATGCTTGAAAGAAAAGTTATAGAATTAACACTGTAGGTTTTTGGTCACATTTCTGAGACTATATTTTTCAGAAAAAAATTAGGAGTTTTATCGTAAAAATAACAACTCAAAATTTCAAAACAAAATTTTAATTGCAGAATTTTAGAGACTTAAGCCACAATAATTTAAAAACATACCACTTTGAAATCGGAGGCCAGGAAGAAAAGTTATGGATTTAGAGCTGTAGGTTTTTGGTCACTTTTCTGCAAGGACGGTTTTTTCGGAAATTAAGAAAGGGGTTACATCATAAAAATAGCAAAAAATCGACCCGAAATTATAAACCAATCTTTAAATGCAGAGTTTTAGAGCACAAAGCCACAATACTTTAAAGACATACCACTTTTAAATCGGATGCTTGAAAGAAAAGTTATAGAATTAACACTGTAGGTTTTTGGTCACATTTCTGGGACTATATTTTTTTCTGAAACTGATTAGGAGTTTTATCGTAAAATTAACAACTTAAAAATTCAAAAGAACATTTAAATGCAGAGTTTTAGAGACTTAAGCCACAATACTTTAAAGATATACCACTTTGAAATCGGATGTTTGTTATGGATTTAAAACTGCAGGTTTTTGGTAACTTTTCCACAAATCCATTTTACACATTTCACAATTACGAGTTGACTACATATTTTTAAAAAGTCGTTACGACTGGTCATCGGATGAAAACGCCCTAACGCATGGCCGTGTAAATCGATAGTTGGGAATAAGAAAACATATTGACGTTTGTTCATCTCTAATTTCGGAGATTTTGTTTATGTTTTAATTTGCTGCGTTAAATTGTAAACAAAATAACTCGCCAAGATGTCGTACATGCTTCCACATTTGCACAATGGCTGGCAGGTGGACCAGGCCATTCTCTCCGAGGAAGATCGCGTGGTGGTGAGTGATTGGAACTGGTGGCCCCAACGGAGCACCACTTGGTCGTGCGGGCTCCATAAATGAGTAACTTCTACATTTCCGCCTTAAGGTTATACGATTTGGCCACGATTGGGACCCCGCCTGCATGAAAATGGACGAGGTGATGTACAGCATTGCCGAAAAGGTCAAGAATTTCGCTGTCATATATCTAGTGGATATTACGGAGGTCCCAGACTTCAATAAAATGTACGAGTTGTACGATCCCTGCACGGTGATGTTCTTCTTCCGGAATAAGCACATTATGATTGATTTGGGCACGGGAAACAACAACAAGATCAACTGGCCACTGGAGGACAAGCAGGAGATGATCGACATTGTGGAAACAGTCTACCGAGGAGCTCGAAAAGGTCGTGGTTTGGTGGTATCCCCCAAGGATTACTCGACCAAGTACAGATACTAAAATGGACAATTTAGTTTAATGTATTTCTTTGTGGTAACAAGGACTACTCAACCAAATACAGCTTAACTAATTAACTTTGTTTAATGTAAGCCCCTCTTTTAGGCCCAACAAATTTATAATCCCAAATAGAAGCCACTCTTGTCTCTTGGCAACTTGTGTATATGTATTTTCTTCTGGTTTATTTTTCACTTGTCACATTTTCTCATTAATATCGCTAACATGTACATCAATTTTCTTTGTTTTTCTCATATATATAACATTTAACTAAGTTTGTTCTTTAATAGCTCATACTTTTTAAAAATTTTAATCCATTCTTTAAAGTAATCATGCATTAATGATTCTGTTTTTTTTTTCTTTTTGGGCGTTAGTAGTACACATATTTGTTTTTAATTTCGAATTGCTTTCGTTTACCAATTTTATCAATTACACTTTGAGTTTTAGCTAAGAGGTACATATAGACATCGAGTTTAAAGAACATTCGCAAAATCAAGAAAATAAAAGGGTTTTTAGTACAAAAGTATAAAAGAAAACATATTGCAAAGAAGGGGCAGCGAAATAAACTATTCAAAGTTCACAAACTGAATGCTCTGCGCATTTATTTATTCAAACTTTTTGTCTTCAACACATTGTTATTGTTCATTTAATACAACAGCTCAGTTTTATTACAGATCTATTATGCTTAGGTTTAACAATTGGTTCCGCTACTCGTTTTTTTGACTTACACAAGTTAGGTTTTCTCATTGGTTTCATTATTAGGTATATGTATATTTAGCTACGTTATTAGTTATATTTATATGGTTTTGCTCTTTTGAAACAAATCAACGCTACAATTACAATTACAATATTTTCGAATTTTCATTTTCATTTACTCTTAATCGTTTTTCAGCATATGTAACCAACAATTAATGGGGGGTTTCCTTTTTTATTATTTTGATATACCATTTGCTTTTTCATTAGGCGCCTTTCATCGAGTTGATCTCTTCGTACAAAATACTTACTAGTATTAAAAAATATTCAAATAGGGCTCGTTTTATACATGTGTGGTGTATATAAATATATACTTATGCATAGGAAAGGTACAAATCAGGCTCAGGCTGAGGCTCAGGCATATGAGAAAGTCTCTATAGGGGGCTGGGGCATCTCAAAATGCAGCTCTATATCGTACTATCTTCGGTTTCCTCCACTAATTATGTATTTTGATTTGAATAATACAAGTTATTTGATTTGTTTTCTCTCCCTTGGCTTTAGCTTTTCATAGAAAAATAGAGATGCGTAGGTGGGATGAGTTAGGAAATTGGTTTTAGATATATGTATTTATATTTTCTCAAATTGGTTTTCGATTTTGTAACGCTATATTCTGACAACAACTCTATTATATTTCCAACAATTTCGTTTTCGAACAGGCAGGAGAGCGGGGAAATGCGAAAATGTTTATGCAACTTTAGTCTAGCTACGCGTTAAAGACATTTAGGCATCTTTGGGTGAACCTTTCGAGGTCCTTAAGGTCTTCTGTCAGAGTACATTATGTTGCAAGGATGACTTAGATCTCGATCTCGATCTCGACCTCGATCTCGATTTGTTGTGCAATCTATAAAATTTCTAAATTACAATACTTTAAGTATTTGGCTGCTGTATAAGACACTAGAAGAGTTTTTTATTGAGAGACATTAGGGGATAGAAAGACTGACTGGCGGCTGGCGAAATACCTATAGAAATATATAAACTCTTTCCTTAGCTTGGCCGCATACAAATATATATACATATTCGCATGCTAGCACTTTCGATTTATAGATAAAGTGTGAAAAATAAATCCGAGTATCACTACTTAACTTTTAGAGTTCTATTAACAATAATAGACAACAGTCTCTAAGTACGAATACGTTGTTGTTCATGTTACCCTCTTTGTTTTTTTTTTGCCCTTTCGATCATTAGAAGGCATGTACTACTGTAACTTATGCCTTATGCCAGACCAACTAACTTATGTTTTGACTAAATGCGCTTAATCTAATCCTCCTTATCTAAGCCTAAATACTCGTCAATACTTGCGTTTCATAGTTCCGGTTCTGGAGCAACCCAGGAAGTTGGTTGCCAGACCATGCGGCTAATGAAATTACAGTGAGAACTCCCTAGAACGACTGTATTTTTTTTCTCATTTACATTTTTTTATATGTGACACAAAATGTGTTCAGTTTAAAGGTCTTCAAATGCAAAGTATTCTGGCCAAGACAAGTTTTGTGATTGGTGACCCCTAAACTTCACTAACTTTTTGACATTTTCCAAACTTTGATGATATTTTTCAAACTGAAATACATTGGTTAAGAATCTTGGAAGTTTTAGCGTAAACGTGGCTTTCCTCTGACAAGTTTTTTGATTGGTGACCCCTTTATTTTATTAATTTTGATCACATTTTCCAAATCGTATTTCAAAGTGTCTTTTTTTCCTAAATTATTCTAAACTACAGTTTTAAAGAATCTCGGAATTTTGTATGCCCGCTGAGGAGTTTAGCATTGTACTTGGTGACCCCAATTGTACATTAACTTTGGTGATATATTTTAAACTGAACCCGGAAATTTAGATAAGGGTTTTACTATTTCCAAAACGAATTTATAATGGTTTCCGAGTTCATTTTCTATGAACCTGTGTTGGAATTTTAAAGAATCTTAAGAAGAGTAAGTTTTGATCGTTTCTAAGGAGTGTTCACTGTAAACCCCAATAGCCTGCGTACAAAGTCAGTTGCTAAGCTCTTAATTAGTGGCCCGGCCCTGGGAACTGCCTGCGCTGGAGCAGTGGCAACCAGCTGGGCTAGAAGAGTGTCTCCTTGGACCATTTCCTGGAAGTGCCGGGCAAGCTGGGATCCCTCTTCTCGCCGCTTGCATCCGCAGGGCGCTGCTGCACCTGCTGGTCATCCGCCTGCTCATTGGGCAGCCGGATCAGGGGAAGCTCTAGCATGACAGTCGTTGTTGGTGCACCACTAGCTCCAGCTCCAGCTCCATCTGCCGATCCACTGTCACAGCTCAGGTTGGTGGCACTCCGGCTGATCCCGCTGGCAGGAGCCTTCCTCAGGATCAAATCCTTGAGGGTGTCGGGCACACAGATGCTGCTCTGCTGCGTGGCTATCACCGAATCGGAAACGGACGAGGCGCAGGGATCATGGACCAGCCGGATGGCGTTCGTTGGCAGTTGGGCAGTTGGCTGCTGGGGATTATTGTCCATCCGGCTGCTCACAACCGGAGTGGGTATGGAAATTGGATGGGGAATGGGACTAGGACTGGGCGTGGAACGGCCCAAGCTGATCACCGTATTCAGGCTGCTGTATTGCGTATGGGTGGCGGACTCTCCTCCTCCTCCTCCGCCTCCTCCTCCCAGAACCTGAGGATCAGCCAAGCCCAGTTCCGTATTTAGAGTGGAACAGGTATCCTCCTCTGTTGTAGTGGTCGTTGTGGTTGTCGTCGTCGTCTGCGGATCACTGTACTGCTGGAGCAGGGGTCCCCGCCTAGGAGGACTCTGGCTGATTACCGCTCCGAAGTGGGTTTCCAGCGGCGGAGCCACTGCCTCCGGCAAGCCCATGTGGAACTGTTGCAGCTGCAGCGGCGCCTGGTTGATCAGGGCCACCCGATCGCTGGTGGAGGTGGCGCTTATGGTGCGATGTCTTTGGAGCAGTGGCCTCCGCGGCCTGGCACCACCACCTATGGCCATGGGTAGCCTCTTTGCGGGCAGCTGGAGAGGATTGGGCTTGGAAGCGGCCTGTGACTGCGCCTGCGTCTGAGCCTGCGCCTGAGCAGCTGCCTCCTGCTCCTCACTGTCGCTGCTCAGCTGCTGCATATCATCGTCCGTGTCCGCCGGACTCTCCAGCCCAAAAACCGAATCCTCTTCCAGGGAGCGCAGCTCGGAGTCGGGACACTCCAGCGAGGAGATCTTGAAGGAACTTAGTGAGGCCAGTGGGGCACGCTTCTCCGGATTATTGTTGCCCCCCGGAAGGGGCGGTATTTTGTGGGACACTGAGACGGTGGCGAGACTGAGACTGCCACCGTTCAGCCGCTCCAGACTCACCGGTGTGCTGTCCACACTGATGCTACTGGAGCTGGTTGTTCCTGGCACGGGAACCGGAACCGGAACTGCTGCATTTGCCGTATAAGGAAAGCTATTGTTGTTGCTCTCATTCCGCTGCAGCTCCACCAGGGTGAGCTTACGCCGGGGCAAGCTCACACCCAGACGCAGTTCCTCCGAGGGTGAGTCGCAGAAGTGGAATCCCTGATGCACACCGGTGGGCGGGGCCGATTGGATGGGCTTGGGCAGCGGCAGGGCCAAGTCCACAGTGCTCTCCTGGTTATACGGATAGACGTCCACAGTATCCGCACTTATGGAGTGGATTTGCTGCTTGCGGCCCGCCTGAGCACTATCCGGATCGTAGGACACTATGCTGTGCTTTCGCTTGATGTTGCTGGCACTCAGATTGGAGGGTCTACTGCCATTTAACGATCCCGATGCGGATCCCTCGTGAACACTCCTCTCCGAGGGACATGGCGAAGCCTTGGGCGTCGGCTGGATCACCTGTATATCCGGATAGTAGTAGTCCCAGTTCTCGATGCTCGATGTTCGCGAGGCAGTCGATAGCTTCCTCTGCAGCGTGGGCGGCAGGTTGCCCATGCAGCCACCCATGTAGGCGGAGGTGCGCCGCTCCAGGTAGGAGCTATCCGTGCTGCAGCAGGTCATGGCACTGCTCCTCCGGGAATCCTGACCCTGCGCGGGATACACAAGATAGTCACATTTTAGAATGCATTTCTTAGGGAGAGAAAAAAATCATTTATGCAAAAATAAAGTGGTAAAAATAAATATCTATTGAATTGAATTCAACATTTTAAGTCTAAAACTAAATTATAAAATCATAATTTTAAATACAAAGACCGTAAATATTTATTTTTAAATTTATTAGTTAAATTAATGAATTATTTTTCTTTCATTATACTAGAATTATCCCTTCATTTCGGGGTATGTTAGAGCTACATTTTATTTAAAAGCATTATATTTGAGTTTAATACGGAACACAATTTTTAAATGTTTAAATCTGTTTCGAAGAATATTTAAAAAAAAAATGACTTAAAATAATGTAAAATCAAAGCGAAAAATATTTAAATTGAGTATTAAATTCTTGGATTTACTACGTTTCTTCAGCAGTGCACTCACCGCCATTGGTACGGACAGAAATCCCGGCTTGCTGCGCGTGGAGTCCGTTCTCTGGTGCTGATGGTGCACCGGCTCATCGTCTGGGGCACCTGGCTGCATGTGGTACTCCTCCGCCTCCAGTTCGTCCTCCGTCTCCACGAAATAGTCATCGGTACCGAAGCTGCCGCCCATTGGGTAATTGCTGAAGATGCGCGACGACTCGGAACCGCTCTTACGGCGGCCCACATGACCGGATCCGGGTCCTCCCCCGCCGGACATGGAGGAGTAGGAGAAGCGACGCGGCGGCTCCAGCAGATAGCTGTAGCCCACTGGCACGCCCACTCCCACGCCACCTAAAAGGTAATAGATGGGGGTTTTATTTTATTAAGTATGTTAATTAAGAGAGAAATAGAGTAAATTCTTGTAAAAAAAAACAATTTCCCAAAAAATATATGTATGATAAAACATTCTAATAAATTTCCATGAAGAATATTATAAAATGCAGCAATGGCAACAATTTCTTTGGAGATCCTCAAAAAAAAGCCATAACTTCGTAATATTTGCTTTGATCGAAATAAAATTTAGGAACACCATACTATTTTCAATTTTAAATGTTTTAAAAGCTATTTAACATTTTACATTGACTACTGGTTTAAATATAAAAATTCTACAAGTATAAAAGTAGACATAACTTTGCTGCGATCGACTTGAAATTTTAGACAGAAAAATAGGCTCTATAAATAACAAAAATATTAATATAAAAAATATTTAAAAAAATCCTTTGGCAAGTAGTCCATATGCTACACCTTTTTAAGAAAAATTCCCCTTTTGAATGGACTCACCCATGGAACCGCAGCGATATCCCCGATTGAGCAGAGGCGGCGCACTGACATTGCCCAGCGAGAGCATGCGCTGCCGTCGATAGACCATCGCATCGTACTCATCCGGATAGATGGACATCCCGGTGGCCACGATGGCGTCGTGGATCTCGCGCTCCTCCTCCTCCTGCATGCACACCGCTGCCACGGCTGCCATTTTGGGGTCCTTGAGGACCTTCAGGGTCTCGTTGCTGCTGCTGCGACTCTTCCATACGATCAGGAAGACCATCAGGCCGAAGAAGCCGCCCAAAGTGGCGGCGATCCTGACGCCCGTCATCACGTCATATGTGGCGAAGAATTCGGCGCGAATTCTGGCCCGTTCCGCTGCATTTTCCGCATCTGTCAGATTTTGCTCGCCTGGCGGGAGGAGCGGCATGTAGGGCGTGGCCGTGACGTGGGCGTGGGCGGGTGCAGTGGGCGTGGCAGTGTTGCTGTGGTAGCTGCTGTTGTTGCTGCTGTTACTGTTGCTGTTGCTAATGTGGTGATTTGATAGCGCCGCCGGTGTCGGTGATGGCGACGCTGGATTCTCATGCAAGACATCAGGACTCGTGTCAATAAGAGCGGACACGTGTCGATTGCTGTTGCTGTTGATGTTGCTGTTGCTGGCGGCACGACGTGCAATGCGTTGCTGTTGCAGCTGATGATGTTGCTGCTGTTCCAGCTGATAATGTTGGTGTTGCTGCTGCTGCTGCTGCAGGTGTGTTGACTTCTGCCGATGTTGCTCCTGTTGCTCCTGTTGCTGTTGCTCCTGGTGCCGCTGCAGGTGTTGTGTCTTCTGCTGAAGTTGCTCTTCTTGTTGCCGCGTGGCGCCAGAGGCATGACTTGGATCGACTGGTGTTGCTCCGGTATTTGCTGTTGCTGTTGTTGCTGTGGAGGGCGTTGCTGCAGACGACGAGGCACGTCGTGAAAGTTTGGCCATCTCTATTCAAACATTTTCTGCAAATAAATAAATTAAATAAATTAATTAGTTTTAAATGAAATTAATTACTTTAACATTAATATAGTTTAAAAGCAATTAACCTTAAAGTGATTAATAGGCACTTTAATATTTTAAATTTAATGATACTAGTATTAAAAGTCTATAGTCTACTTTATTATCTCATAGTAATGTGAAAAACTTCTATCTCAATCGTTTATCTCTATCTTTTTTAATCAAAGAAATTACTTGTTTAAAAAAATGTAAAAAAAAAAGCATAGTTAGCTCCAAAATCCATATTTTTTTTAAAGTACAACACATCAGTGGCTTATTCTTGACGACAATTTGCCACTTTGTCGCTTATTTGGGTGAGCAAACTGTGGCCGTTTTATGCTCCTCCTTATGGACCTGGCTAACTGCCCATGAAAGTGTTAGTCACGAACAAATTGGCCATACAATATCGACGTGACTGCCATTCAAGCCAACTGTATGATGTTCCTGCAAATGGTCCAATGAAATTAACGGATATCCACTTGCGGCGAAAGTGTGCTACATAAAATATATACAAAGTACAACTTTAAAAATAAAGTAATGAAGATTTTCAGCTTTAAACTATATTATTTCCTGTTTACTTATATCAAAATTTGTTTGATGGCAAGAAAAACGTGCTCGAAATATTTTTGATTTCCAAGGATACCTCTCTTAATTTGCACTACCACGTTTCCAACACCTTTTGCTTCAAGCTGCGTTTTCAAGGAATGCCATTCCCATCCTTCGTCCTTGCACGTCCTTAACCCATTAAAACACCATCAAAAACCATCCACATTTCTTGGCGCATTCTTCAAACTTTTTAATTGTTTTCAGCGCTTTAGCTGCTTTTCCAGTTAGCCCCCCTTCCCCTCTCTCTCTAGGCAAACATTCCCGTGGGGAAATAACTTGGTAAATTTTTAACATTTTGTTGAAATGAGTAAATTAATGTAGCTCTCACGCACACACACACACACAGGGTCCTTTGCCTGTAGCATCTCCTTTGGCGATATCCTTGGATTTTCAACAAGTTGCACGCTCAATAACTGAGAAGGACACTGTAGCCTGTTGCCGTTGTGTGTGGCCATTGTCCATTGTCACTGGCAGCTAGTTGGTCAGCTTTTCCCCCTCCGCTTTTCCAGCCCCCTCCTCGCCCCCTTGAAGCCACCATCTAATTGTTCGTTTTGTATTGACAGTCGCGCAATTGCGGAGCTCCGCTCTGCTGAATTTTCTATCTGAGCTGTTCTTTCCTTCCACCTATTTTGTATGTCCTTGCAAAGAGTATTTCAATTTTAGCGAAAATTTTGTGAGGCATATACATTCTGGATCAGCATTACTGGAAATGCCTAGGTGAACTAGTTACAGAAAGTATATCAATCCGAAAGTGGAGGATCGAACCACTTCATCACATAACAAATAAATGATAAAAGTTACCATTCTTTTTTTTTATTTAATTATTTTAAAAGCAAAAGTATATAAAATTCGGCTTATTCCTTTCTTGTTCTCTTTTTTTGTTAAACAAATAGCTATATGTATGTATGTCCTGGCAAACGCTTTGTCCTGCCAAGGACAGCGCCACATTCAGTCAGTCAGGGAGCAAGAAGATGATTATTGCAAAAGTTTTGGTCTACCACTCGTACTCGTACTCGTACTGTTCCATGCCACCTGAAACCCTCCTACCTTGGCTTATTTCGGTTTTCCATTTCCTTTCCAACTTGGCCGGCAAACAAGAAAGTTTTAATGGCTATTATACATTGGCCATAATTCGTGTCCAACTTCCGTGCAAATAACGAGGGGAGAAAAAAAATGTAAAACACAATTTGCAGTCTAAGCAGTTCGGAGTGATTTTTAATGGGCCCCCACAGTTGGTGGATTCTTTTGCCGGGCAATTATTTTTGAATTCCACTAATGGTTGCGAAATTTGTCTCGTCTACTTTTCCACACAGACTCGCGACTCGAGAGTCGGTGAAAAGCGCAACTTTCCAAAGAACTTATTGGAATGGGAAAATAAAAACGAAAAACTTCTTCAATAAGGTCATTACTTATTTCACTGGACAACGTTTTTTTTTTTGAGTGATGGTATTAGATTTGTCTATAATTATAATAATTATAATTATAATTTATTTGTAAAAAGCTATAACATCAGTTTTACTTAAAATATGATGAAAATTTAAATGCATATTCTATTAAATGGCATGGTTTCATTTTTTAATATCTTTACTTTAATAAATATTTAATGTAAATTTGTAATTAAAAAATATATTGTATCTCCCTAAAGCTAGGTTTTTTTCGAAAATTTATTTAGATTTTTTATAAGCTCTCTCTAAAAAATTATATTTTTCCTGCTCTAGAAGTTATTGACTACTTGTAATAAGTTGCAGCTTCCGATTCGTTTTCTAAATAGAACATGTACAAATGCGCAAAAGAAGACAAAGTGTTGAAGCTACCGTTGGGTCTCATTGATGGATTAGCACATTTGGCGATTGAATTTGCTGCTGGGCACGGATAATTGCCTTTGGCTCAGCTCACAAAACAAAAACAAAAACGAAAAAAAGGACAAACAATATACGTAGAATACATTAACAATGTCCGCTCGATGAACGTGTGTATCAACGCCATATCGATGTCAAAGCGGGCGGTTTTTTTGGTGTGGCATTAGAACTGGGTGGAAAATGAGCGGAAAATGGGTGGCTCAAGCCAAGCTAAACAACAACAATGTGTTGCTTGTTGCGCCCTGTTGTTGCAGCATGATGAATGATTGTGGTTTTGGGCCGTCGGACAATTGGACAAATGGACGGGGAACAACGGAAAACGGACAAACATGCTGACAGGCGGCCTCGACTTGGATTTGAGTACACGGTGCGTATGCGTAATGCGTGAAAGGAGCAAAATAATAATTCATCATGCCCGGGGCAAGTCTCGCCTATATACATTACATATATGCTTTATATATATAAAGATATCTGCAGTATTTTTGGACTGTCGTATTTTTACTTTGGCAAATGAAATTGACGGCAAATCAATTGAAATTGTATATATATATATGTGTAAGCTTATACAAAAATGCTTTTGTCCGATTTTGGGGCCACGTCGAATTGACTTTGCCACCCAGCCAACAAACAATGAAATCATTCATGTGAATTGAGGCGTGCTGCCATAAATACAGAAGACATGATTTAAATAGAAACATTAAAGGTAAAGTAAATCAAAATATTAACAACAACAGTTAAAGTAAAGTAAAAACTTATAGTTTTTGTATTTTAATATTAAATGTAAATGTAAAAGTTACCCTTAAATTGGTTTGATAGATTTATCTTTACCCCAAATAAATGTATTTCACATAAATATAATAGAAAGTCCCTGCTCAGACAGCTTTGGTGATTTATTGAGCAACGATTTTCAATTCATTGATTTTTGTAACACCCAATGAATCCCTACTTAAATGTCCATCACTGTCATCACGCAGACACACACTCGTTTGAGCATCTTAAGTGTTTTACACACCCACACAAAGTACAAACGAGACCACATATACAACCACCTAAGCGGCTTAAAGGAGCATTAGGCAAATGAAAATACTCAAGGGCAAAAATTGTGTGGCCTTTTTTTTGCAATTCGATTTGCTGTCCTCCAACTTGGATTGCATTTAATATTTTTTTTAATTAGCTAAATTGCTGACTGAGCAGGGGATTTGAATATTTTAAGGGCTTAAACGCAGCGAAGTGGAGGCTTTAAAATAGTGAATGGAAAGTATTGAGTGGCTTTCAGCGATTCTGCCTGCCTTATTAGTGTCTGCTTTGTCTTGGAAAAAAGCAGGAGCACACAATGCCGCACAGTCGGGGCCAAATTATGAGAGTAACGGCATTCCACAGCCGCGCCTACAGAAAGTCCATCCTTCTTCCACACAGCCGTGCGCCATTTAACAAACATTCCGTTAATCTGCTACACTTGGCAGCCCCATGGCCACGAGCCTGCCTCCCACATCCACAGCCACATCCACATCCGCTCCTTTATCCTGATCCTGCGCCCGTACTTGTGCCGCTCGCAGCTCTGCGCTTTTGGCTATTTGTTCGAAAATACAGGATAAATTAATAAAAGTGTATATTAAAATCCATATGATACAGTAAAAAGTTTTATTAACTGCAAGTACTTTTTGATTTAAGGTAAAGTATTTAAGGAACAAATTTGATTTCATTTAATTAATCATGAAAAATATTTTAAAATGTTTTCAGCATTTTATTATATTGGTTGGCAAATATCTTTTTCAAAATATTAAAAATCTTTTTGTTTTATGGTCTCCACAAGTCATTGAAATTGCTATTACGAATGTATTTTAATTATAGCAGAAAGTATTATAAGTGATAAACGCAAAACAGGACAAATGTGTTTAAATCTGAAGCCAAAATAATAAAAATTATTTTAACTTTCCTTCAAAAGGCTTAAATATCAAGCTTTGTACTTAAATTTAAGTCTACTGAAATGGTCTATACAAATTGAATTTAAGTCACACACTTTTAATATGTACTGAAAAATAGAAACAACTGAATAAATTCAGTTTGGGCAAAAGCGCACGTACAACGAAACCTATTTGGATCATTGAATTTTGGTTTTCCCAAACATGCAAAAGGTACCAATTGCCAAATGCCTTCAGGTGTTTTAAATGTTTGATGTGGCTTGTTTTTTTTGCATGTCAGCACTGGTACTGTGTGTGTGTGTGTGTCTTACCTCATGCCGTAGAACTCGGCGATGTTGTCCTCGTTGTTACTGCTTATTGTTGTGCTTTTATTGTTATGGCCATGTTTTTTGCCCCCAGTACCGCGCCTGTTCTTTTTTGTTTGCTGTTTCATTTGGCGGCATTGTTGCTCCTGCCCCCCGCCCCTGCCACGCCTCTACCGCCCCTAAATTTATATGTGTTTTTGTGAGCTGCCTTTGTCTTTAGTGCTAAGCGTTTTACGTTTATGATCCCAACTCAGGCCCAGACACACAGAAACAA